GTAGTCATCGATGGCTGCTCGTCTGACCAATTCGGTATTAATGCCGGCGTCCCTCAGGGGTCAGTACTTTCAGCGACGCTCTTTTTGCTGCACATAAACGACCTGCTTAAGCCCGGTATCTTTGGGTATGCAGATGACAGCACAGTTGTTGAAAGGTATGTGTCCGGTGCGCGGACTAGCGGAACACAGATCCAGTCTTTAAGAGAATCCATGGTCGAACGTTTGAACTCGACCTTGAAGGCGGTGTCCGACTGGGGTGACGCCAACTTGGTTAGGTTCAATGCTAGCAAGACCCAGGCGTGTCTATTCTCCGCCAAACGGAGTCAATTTCCGCTGACTCCTACTTTCCGGAATGTATCCGTACCGATAACCGATCGTCTTGAGCTTCTTGGTGTAACTCTGACGCCCACGCTCAACTTTGGCTCATATATAGAGTCAAAAGCGCAACTGGCTGGTAGGAAGTTGGGTGTCCTATGGAGGGTGAGACGGTACTTCACGCCGAGACAATTGCTGAGCCTGTACCAAGCACAGGTTCGGTCCTGTATGGAGTACTGCTCTCATCTTTGGGACGGCTCGGCTAAATATCAGCTGGACGCGTTAGAGCACATTGAGAGGCGTGCCAGGAGGCTCATCGACGATGATGCGCTTGTAAAGGCTCGGCTTCAAAGCCTCGAACACAGGCGTAAGGTTGCAAGCCTTTCGGTTTTCTACCGGATACATTTCGGGGAGTGTGCGGGGGAATTGCACAACTTGATTCCCCCTAGTCCTTTCCATCATCGTACCACAAGACAATCCGCGAAGCGTCACCGATTCATGGTAGATGTTCCGCCCACACGCACGAAGCGCTTCGCTTCAAGCTTCCTTGTGCGTACTGCTAAAGAGTGGAATTCTTTGCCAGAGTCTGTATTTCCTGAAGGGTATAACCTGGGAGTCTTCAAGGCCCGAGTGAATAGGTTGCTTATGGGACGACGTGCTCCAACGTAGACCGCATCATCGCTTACCATCAGGTGAGATAGTGGTCAAACGTCGCCCCAACAATTATAAAAAAAAAAAAAAAAAAAAAAAAATGATACGTATATTTTAATTTTGTCGTATAAGAAAACAATAAGTATTGTATCGGAGCTATAGCTACGTCATTTCTAAGTAGAAAACGTACCTAGAAGGGATGTAACGTCGTATTATAAACCAACATACCGTCTAAAGTATTTGTTTCCGTAAGAAAAAAAAATTAATGTCTAAAGTTTCAAAATTATATAAAAAAAGAAAAAAACAAAAGGACATTAAACAAAATTTGTCACCTACCTATTACATCTAATATCTTTGCATAATTTGAATAACTAGCGACCTCGTTCAGTTGCTTTATTACTTTATCTCTAGCTTAACCGCCCTTCATATCACACTTCCACTCACTAAAATTCTTCCTGTTTCTAAAATTATAGTAAATTAAATTAAACTAGAGCGAAAATGAGAATAGACTGCTAAGTACAAGATGATGTGTATATTATATGAAGTTTGAACATCATCCAATTAAAGTGCTGAATGTAATTAAAGTTTTGGTAATCAAGCGACCAAATCCTTCAAAATGACTTACAAACATTGAAGTGCTTTAATAATGTTCAAAATAACGACATAGAAAATATAAAATTGGGGTGTAAGCGAGCCCAGCAAAAAGAAGAGTAGACGCGTGATGAGGTGACGCTTGCGCGCCGGCCGCTGACGCCGCTCCTTGCCAATGATGGTGGAGACGCACCGAGCGCCGCCGCCTCGATGTGCGCGCGCGCTCGAGTCTCGCACCAAACCCGCCTCAGCATCGGCGCCGCCTTCGTTGGCCGGCAGTGGAACTGTCATGCACCTGCGTCGACGCCGACACAAAACTGTTCACTTTGGCGAAAATCTACTGATGCAAGTTTGCGCTGACCGAGCACACTTAGCAGCACTTGGAGCGAGAGTTCCTGATGTTTCATTTTGCCACAAAGCTCATACAGGGCTTCGCAAAGGAGATGCCCGCTTCTGTTGTGTTGCACATCACTGCTGTCTAGCCGCAGGAGCTCTTGTAGCACTCACGTCGAGCGGGCGACCGAAGCCACGCAGAGAGCGCAGTGCAGACTCCCATTCAAGCGGCGGTGAGACTGGGGATAAAGGAGAAAGCGGTGGTAGTACCTCAGCGTCCAAAGAGCCTAAACGTAAAACTAAACATCATCACCACCACCACCATCACCATAAAATCCACAGTTGTCCATATCATGACGTTGCGCCACCGCCTGAAGACGAACCTGATGAAAAAGCTATTGTTCCAAAAAAAACTGTTTCGCCTTATCTCTATATACCTAGTAAGTTAGAGCCTAATGTGCAACAGTTATTCAGCTTTATAGAAAGCGTACTGAGTGCCTGGGCAGCTGAAGAAGGCCTAACAAGTACTGGGGAATACTCGGAACCAGACGAGCGCATGGTGCGGAGGCGTAAACTAAACAAGTATAAGAAACGCACCGATGTGCTCAATATTCGGCGTATAGTGTATGACGTGTCTATTCTGCGCGGAACAAGGCTGCTTGGAAATGTTAGATTTCGTCATTACCATTGGAAAGGAACTGCACAAACTTGCAACGAAGCATTTCTTCGGAAGGTGAGGCCCCTTATGATATAAATTTATAAATTCTTCAAAGTATAATGTAAAACTCAAAATGTACCTATTGTGAATAATAGCGTTGGAAGACGTAAACCGTTACAATGGGGCTGAGAAGAAAATACGTTGAAGATACCTAACATTTTGACCTTATTTTAGTTTCCTCTTAGTGGAAACTGCAATTTCCCTTTTGCTAATGAGGGCTTTTATGCTCTTTACCCTATTTGAAATATAAGGCTTTGTGGGTGCTATTTTCTTTTACATTAATTAGTGTTGTATTTCTATTTCACACAAGTAGGTAGGTATGTCCACTTTAGTTAAAAATAATAAAAGGTAAATTAACTATTTTAACATACCTAATATTTTTTTATAAATTATAGTATTAAGTACGTAGGTATATTATTTATATGGTACAATAATCCTCAAGCTTTAAGGTCTTAATAAAAATCTGTCGTTGAATTCTAAACGCTCTCGTGACTTATTCAAATTAATTACACACTAACTTTTACGATACTATAAATAATTTACGTAGGCAGTAGTAGTACACCTACGTACTTGTGTACATACGTAGGTACGCATTTACGTAGGTATGTCACATGATATTAATATAAAGAAAGCACTTATTTAACACATAAACAAATACATAAATACAGTTCTGAAATAAATACTAAATTACTCTAACTTATAGTTGTAGTGACTCAAGGTGCCCATTTTTCAAACATAAGGTTCAAAATCTGGTAAAGATAAAGATATCTGGAAAGTACTTCATTAAGAAACCACTGGCCACTGGCCGTGACGAAACTTTAAATATAATAATATAGAAACATACCTAAGTATTTCTAAATCTATAATAACTACGAAGTCACGTTGTGACATAGCAAAAGTCCAAACAAGAAAAAGTTAGTTTATATAACGTCATTACAATACCTATCTTCAACGAGAAACGACGGACAGATATATTTATCGAACTATGTGGGTACTACGTTAAACTACACCAAAGTTAGAGTTTGTTCCAGAGTTGCGATTCCCAGTTAACTTAGCGAGGCGCAATTAAGTATTATATCTAGGTAGATGAGTTGTCCAGTAGCTGGTGGTATAACTAAGCTTACGCTTTGAGGTGCCAAGAAATTCATATAATGCAATTTAATTTAATGCGGTTGTGCGACTCACAACACCAAGCCTTGCTGTTTATTTGCAGTGAGGGAGATTTCAAATTTATTTAATCTCATTTGGTTGTACCTTACTTTGTAAAATTAAAACTGCATGCTCTATAATACTTCAACAAATATAAATTAATGCTCTTTCTTTTGCAATATTCTACATATGCAAGTCACAATTATTGTAAATTTTATAAAAATGTAGAAGCACATAGTATTCTTTTTTGTGAAAGACGGTGGCAAGGGCGCTGTGCGGCGTCAAGAGCCATCGAGCCGAGAGCGTGCTACCGAGGTCCGCATACGCCTCAAAGCAACTTTTCTTATATACTATGTTGTGTTCAAAAGCGCAAGACACAATACCGCGTAACACAATATTTATTTTTACGAAATCTGCTGGCCTTTACTTAATAATGATAAAATCTCATACAAAACGTACCTCTTCAAATATCGTCCAAAATCCACCACTTCAAATCAAAATCTGTCCCTACTTACAAATGTCGAATCCCAATATTGGTTGTTACCCAATATGATTTCTAATGACTACGTCAGCTCACAATCAGTCATCGTTTATTTTCAAACACACAATGTAGTTAGTGATTTTCTGCTTCCTCAAATTTTCTGCGTAGAATGAAACAAGAAAGACTTTTAAATGTAACTGAATTAATAAAATTAAATTTGCTCCAAGAGGAAAATTAACAAAAAATCGGTAGAATGGCTTTGAACTTTTCTAATTACTTATTAAAAATAGAACTGATTACAACTGTAGCAACTTTTAGGTAAATAAAAAGTATTGAAAGTGCTGAAACAGTGTCGTTTAGCACTCGTTTTTGTGTTTTGCACCAATGTGCACCTTGCCTGGCACCTGAGAGGTGAGGTAACAATTTCAAAAGTGGAAACGAGGGGTGGTCTGGGGGTGGAAACTGCGTTACACTCTAAAATGTTGAAAGTGTCCAAGTTTGAACTTATGTTGTTTGCGCGAGATTTAAATGACGTCACTGCAGACTTTGCTGCACCGTATTTTCTATTATGTTTCTGCCCTTGCGTTTTAAAAAACAATTTCTTTTTTTATGAACAATTGTTAAAGTTTCAGTTCAAATGATTGTTCAATTAACTTTTATGGTATTCTCAAACATGATAAAAATGTCGTATAGCTGTGACAAAAAAAAATATATATCTTTAAAATAAAACATATTGTAATTGCACATTTTATTTCCGTACAGATATCGGATGATGATCGCATGTCGTTAACGACGGCGGTGTCTGACGAGGAGGACCCTGGTGAGAGCGCAATGAATTCTCCTTACAAAGGAAAGCAGACAGGCGCTGCAGCCGCATCCTTCAACTGCACAGGAGCCGTCAGGAAAGCTGGGTAAGTTATTGTATTGCATTCTTGAAAAGGTTTAAATGAAATATGCCATTTCAGAATTCGTGGAGAGATTTAGTTCCACTCTGATTCATTTTATTGTCAAAAGAACCAAGTTCTGGTTTGCCGCAATGTTGAATAGGTACTTTAAGTGTGATTAAATTTCCTTGTAAGCTTATTTAAACTTGTGAAAAAATAGATTTTCTTAATTCTCTATAATGACATTCTTAATTATCTAACTTATGACTTTCTCATAATTCCTGCGTCCCTTTTGGAACAAAGCAATTAATTAATTATGAGTTGTGATCCCATTTATATTTCACGTGCCAAAATTAATAAAGTAAATGATCACCGGAATACTTAGGGCTCGACTTATTAAATAACGATCATCTAAAAACTCTGGCAACCTTTTTAAATTGAGGGAATTATTATCAAATCCCTATAAAAAATAAAGGAATGTGCCAATTTTAGATTAAAAGGATAAGAAACATTTTTGAAATGAATAACATAGACTTGACTCGGATGAACGACAATAATTTTTAAGACGAAAATTAAAAAATTAGAAGTGAAGTCGTACGTAATAATCCGCTCTCGATAAATCTACGTTTATAGGAATTTGGATTTCAAAGAACTATTTATTGCCTCGATATTAATGGTATTTGTGAAGAAAGTAATCAAATTCCTTTACTTGCAAATTACTGACATTTAGCCTTTAAAATGTATCTGTAATATCTAAAAATACAACAATAAATTAGAATGAACCCAAAGCGCTAAAATTTTGTACCTATACGAAAAACCTTTACTTGTAAAATATAACCTTCGTCTCCGCTTTTTCCCCGACTATTTGTAAGGTTTTGCTCGGAAATACCGAACCATATATGATATCCAATAGAAGATATATTAATACTTATATGTACCGAATTTATGTAAATCTGCATAATATATTAAGGGAACGAAGATATAGTTTGTGAGCGGTAATATTTCAAGACGGTCCCGAGTTATTTGGTTAAGTCTAGGAATATTTATAATCCAATAAACGACGAACATGTGGATAAACATGTAACATGATGTATATGTTATGCATGACTTAATTTATTACATCGTTACCGTAGTTACATTTAGGTGAACCGCAATTTCATAACTGACATTTCGGTTGGTAATTTAAGTTGTGTGGGATATTTACACCTACTTCATCATAAAATTTATCTCACAAATAGAATTTATGAATGTAGTCCCCAAATATTCAGGTAGGTACATATCATTAGGATTTAAAAACGAAAGTTCGTATGAAGAAAATGATTGCAATATAAAAGTGAAAAATAGCCACAGTTTGACCGTTACAATAAATCTCACGAGACCATCTAGTCCAATGGACCATAATTATCATTATAGTCATTTTGCTTAGGTCTGCAGAGAATAGATAGATCTTTTCTCCTTTTTTCTATCCTTTCAAGTGAACATTTTTTCCGTGATTCTTTCTAAGAAACTCCAAGAGTCATTATCTTTACTTACTTCTACCGTGATACATAATTCACCGGTAGCATGTATTCACCGTTCGCACCGTGTGCTTACATCGACACTTCATTGTGCACGTAGCGCCCGTGTGAACAAAACAAAGGTTTAATATTAATACCTGTCCTTTGTGTCGTTTTCGAGAAGCCTTAATAAATGTACGCGAGATATGAAGCGAAGGAAAGGAAGTTGACATCGTGTGACGAGCGCCTTCTGTCGAGTGTCATAGTCTCTATTAGGAAAAGCCTACGGCGTCCTTTATGTTCCTTGAGGCTACAATTCCTCTTCCATGAATTCCAAATGACCGGAGGGAAATCTTAGCCGTGACCTATTCAACGTAGTAAACGCGTATAGACTAAGCAGACAAGATGGTGTTCTGCCTACTAAGCATCCTTACAAATCCGACCAGGACATTGAGCTTTTTGTTCAATAAATTCCTATTTTCCTTTATTTCGTAGCAAATTAAATTCTATTGTGAATGTAATTCGTTTTCTAAAATTCTCTTTTATTTAGTATCATACCTACAGTTACAAAATTTCGATTTACGTTTGATAAGCCACGCTTATTTCCCAGCACTTTTATTTTATTTGCAATGAATATGAGCGCCATCTCTATAAATATTTATAAGAGGTAATAATTCTTGGGTACCTATCGAAATATCATGATTAATTTCTGAAGCTTCAGTTGATTGGTTTTTTTATTTGTTATTCGGAAATGTACCGGAATAACATTGAAAGATTTGTGCCTACCTTTATATGAACAGAAAGCTTTTATTCTTGATTAAGTACGTGTGGAAATCGAACATGTGGAATTTGGTGGAATATATGTTTTTTACATACATACTTTAGCACCGTGGTTTATGGTCATCGTAGCTTACAGGCAGGACAAATGGAACAAAGACAATAAAAATACGTTATTGACAATATAGAAATAGAAAGATAAAACCGTTTTTATTAGGGCGCTTTTTTAAAGAGAATCTTAATAATAAAGTCATTACAAGCTTTTATTTAAATTCCAATGTACATTTGGATGTACCTATGTATGTTTGTAAAATAGAATCTTGCAACATAGTTTTGAAACAGATGTCTTCAACCGACTGAGCTGATATAATGTTGTATATACGATTACTTTGCATGACCATAAATGTTGCAATTAATGCTACTGAATTCAAATGATGTAAACGCTTGTCTTCAGTCTTCTTGTATTTGTCATCGATTGGTATTAATTTTTGTACTTTATCCTCTTTGCTAGCCAACGTCCAATGGTAGGTTCAATAAGTGACTAACATATGTCAAACTGAATAAGAAAAAAAACTGTCACATATATAATGATGACACTAATTTTATGAAAAATATTAAAATAATAATTTTAAATTTATATTTTATGATAAAAAAATAAGTAAATATGCAACATATTTAATGAATTAAGTTAGGATCATGTTAATGAAAAATTATAAACATTAGTATGGATATGAAATTGGGACCTGATTCTTCCGATCCAACAATTTATCGTGTAAGATCTGACATCAAAATAACTAAGAATCGAAGGAAAAAGCGAATTCCTACCCCAGTTAACGTTATTATATGGGCTATGGAAGTTCTTGGACGGCGTAAACATGGTGTATCTATAGAGAAAATACGAAATCTAGTCAAAACGCACTTTATTCTGCCTTACAAGGATCAAGAGGTCGATAAAAAAATACAAATGACTGTTATGTTTGCAGTCGATTTTGGAATTCTTGAAGCAACAAATAATTTATTTTTCTTGAATTATCCCAATCACTAGAGCAACCCTTTTATACGGAAATGTGAATAAGTTGAGTGACTGTAATATAATTATAATGTACGTTTTGAATTGTAAAGTTATAAGTGTAAAGTAAATATATTTTGTTAAATAATTAATCTTTCTCTTTAACACAGTCGTTTACCTACATCCCGGCTCGGAACATTTAGTATTCAGTCAATATTAATTAAGAACAAGTAAAGTTATTTTACTCAGAAGCTCTCTGTTGTTGAATTGATGAACAAATTCATTTAATATTTATCAATAAATTCAATTATTTACTATACATGAAAATGTATATACCTACCTACTATCGTGCAATTACAATGCAATTCGAATGAAAAGTTAATAAGCAAAGTATTGAATGAAAACATTAAAAATATCGAATAATAACATTAACAGTTTGACTGCCGACAGAAAGCTGTTGAAGGTAAATCCTCCGGTATCGTGGCTTATACCTTGTCCCCCATGGCGTTCAAGGTGTTAAAAAGCATTTTAGTGTATGAGATTGTACCTTTCCGTTTAATTGTACATAAATAGATCGGAAACGATAACGAAACACAAATAAGTAATGTTTAGTCTGATTACAAATATTGTATTCGTGTAATGTTTGTCATCAAATATCAATTCAACATTCAACAATATATACCTACAGAAATTTTTGAAACTACCAAATTAAACAACTTCATATGTTTATATTATTATTGAGTATAAAATACAGTAATTATGGAAATTGGTCCAATTAACTTTACTACTGTAACTAATAGTTGTTAGTTTCCCACTACAAGCAAACTACATAACAAACTTCGTAACCGTAAACCACGACATTTACTATAATGAAGTTTGACTACCTGCCTACTGATACCGGATAATTTTACCGAATTATACATAGCACAATAACTATCTAATTTCAGTCACATAAGTTCAAGATCAATTGACATATTAATTACTTTAAGCATTCATCGCTTTAAGGTTAATGAAGAATTTCTTTTAGGTTCCTGAGTGTGAAGAAATGGCTTCTCCGCAAGAAGCACCAGATTGAATTAGCTCGCAAACGTGGTTGGAAAGGGTACTGGGTGTGTTTGAAGGGCACTACACTGCTTTTCTATCCTTGCGATTCCCGCGAAGGCCGTTCCGTGGAAGCAGCCCCCAAACATTTGATCATAGTTGATGGAGCCATCATGCAACCCATACCAGAGCACCCAAAACGTGACTACATATTTTGTCTGAGCACTGCATTTGGTGACGCCTACTTATTCCAAGCACCTTGTCAGGTAAGTTTTTGTTATCGTTTTGTTCAGTCAAACACACTGAATATCATCATTTTACTGTATTATGCGTGCCTCTGTCATTCTCTCCTATCATACGTAATCATAGCATCATGATCCCCTTTTACTGTGATATTGTTTGTACTCTTCCTTTCCACCACTTTAACTTACATTTAGTTCAACTACATAATGATAGTTTTCTAAACGTGTCAAATCTAAAACGGACTTTACCACAATGACTGATTGAAATTATATCAATGGTGGTGGTTAAAAAATATTTTTTGGTAATCAGATAATTCATTTAAATGAAATCAACATTACCTTTTAAAAATCATAGCACAATTCTATACCTCAAATTAATTATCATTATTTTTCAAATTAAAATGATAACTTGTAGATTGAGCTCGAAAATTGGGTGAATAGCATACATAGTGCTTGTGCCGCTGCATTCGCTCGTCACCGAGGCAAGACTGGAACTCTTCATTTACTACAAGAGGAAATATATCGTCTCGAGAAGGCTATCGAATCTGTAAGTAAAGACAATTCATATTTCTTTACCTAATATAAAACTATAGATATATTAATATAAATTATTATTTTGTACATTTTGACTTTGTAGCTTTTTCCTAGCGCAACTTTGAAATTAAAAATGCACTGTACGAGAAATGCGTTGGTATATTACACGTCATAAACATAGTGTCCTACTTTTCATATGAAAATTAAACAGCAAGGTTATCAGCTTCCATATTAAAGTTGAACGCTAAGTTATTAAATGCACAGCTAAACAAATGAACATATGCTGAAGCACAAACTGATCTCGCTGAGAAATTATGCATCGTCCAACCCAAACTGCGCATCGTATGACCTAAACAAACAACACATTGTTTGACTATCATAAATCTACTTTCGTTGGACGATTTTCTGCGGTACCTTAAACACACAAACGTAAAACCTAATTTCAAATGGCTCACCCCGCTTCCATTATGTCGGCACTAGATGAATAGCAAATTCCGTGCCGTGCGCTTGGTGATACGAACTCATACTGACAAAATAATAAAACGGGCTTGTGAAGGATGTGTTGTTTATTAAACATGTGCTTACCATACTAAATATCAACTGTAATTAGTACTTACATGCAATGAGTATAAAATAGATGTTGAAGGTGCGAATATTTCGAGTACCTATCTATTGCTTAGATTTAGATTTATTAGTGCATAAAAGTAATAAGTAAGTTAAATTAGATGAAACGAAATTCTTAGATAGTACCGTGTCACTAGCAAGCTTCTCTTCAGTCAGGCTAGGTACGAGAGTTATTATGTATTAGCTGAATACATATGTGAGCTCCGGACAGAGTCGGCGGCGTGCGGTTCGAAACGTTCCTCGTGTAAATCGCGCCAATTTCTGACCCGCACCGGGTGACCGCAGCACGCATCAAAGCCTTTGTGGCCACCTCATACCACTACATACTTACCACACGAGAATATGCTCTGTCCGACGTGTTTTCGATTAACTGTAACGGAAATGAAGCAAATACGATTCGAATGTCTGTTTGCAGCATTGAGCAATGCATTCACTGGAATAAGATCAAAAGCAGCAGGAAATTAAATTAAGCTCACTGGTCACAGATTAACTATAAAAGCGGAATTCAACATCGTTCTGAAAAATAATATACAACCAAATGTAATTTGCTATCTCAATTATAAGCCACAAAGTTTTATAGCTTTATGAATTTCAAATGACTTCTTATGTTGCAAAATATTCAAAATAGATACCGTAATTAAGGTCGGGAACACACGCTTATTGTTGGAAACAATCTATTTTATCACTGTGATAGTTATCACAGGCAGGTGGGAGCACGCGCTTATTAATATTCATAGCACACGTCATCCTCAGGCGCGAGTTCGAGGACCGCGCTCGGACTATTCAAATTATGTTACATGCATACTTAACTTAAACCAAGTTGTCCACAAGTAACACATTTTTTGCATAAGTAACGCTCTTAACAATTACAGGATCATAAGCTAAAGCATATGGCGGACCTGCAACAATCAGTAGTATCTGATCCCGAGACCCGGGCGCAACTAGCTGTTCAAATGCTGCAGTGGGAAGAAAATCTTGAACGTCTACATTGTGAGCAATTCCGATTGCGCTGTTACATGGCAAGCCTTCAGAGTGGTGAACTCCCTAACCCCAAGGTAAATGTTCTACGAAATTGAGTTTACGGGTTTTTCCTACAAAAATGACCTTACCTAATGAAGCAGTATAATCTTCATAACTTTTTATTTGGTGTGGACCACGACAACTTTATTCGTAGCAGTAGTTTGGATTCACTCTTGCGATTCACAACTGTCCTTTATTGAATATAAAAAAACTTTGATAAAACTGACTTTATTTATTACTTCGGACGTTACTCATGTAAAGCTCAGTTCAATAAATCATGTCTATTGAATTTTTTCTGCCAACTCACCGGTCGTTCATAATTATGTTTTCCTAATATTATGACGAAAACAACGCGCTGATCGTAATTTATCACCCGATAATAAGACAAGAGAGGGGTGTTGAAATTGTCAAGTGATTTCATCGAGGTGACAGAGAAAGGAAATTTGTTGGCTTCGCTATCAAATTGACAGTTCCGTTGACCGGGGGAACGGGGTTGGAATCTGTTACGCCGCGACCCATGTCACGGGACGTCATAATGGTCCCCAACATGCGAATAATAAAAGTTGCTTACAATTTTGCACAGAAATGGGTTTGATTAACGGATATATCAATATCCTTTTGAGGATCAAATATTTATGTAAATATGTGATGAGCAAAAGGTATTTCGTAGATAGAATAATGGAACTTGCAAAACCCGCATTATTTTTCTTTATATTGAGGATATATTACTCTGTCCATTTTCGTTTTCTATAAATGTTTATTAATCTGAATTCTTTGAATATAAACTTTGTTTAATTGTAGTTAAATGTTGACTTTTTTACTAATGAAAATGTTTGTCGTAGTCTCTGCTGACCCACGTGTCGCGTGGTACAAAGAGCACTTTGAACAAGTTAGGGGTGTTCACGGTGTCATCTTTCCACGCGTTCATTTGCGCGCGGTCACCATCACTGCTCAATAATTTACTGGCTGGACGTGGGGCAACTAAGCGGCGTGCTCCTCAACTATCTCGATCTAACTCCGGTTCTAGCAGACGATCTATGCAGGTCAGTGATATTTTCTTATAGTTATATTTAGTTCTTTATGCACGCAAATATCAAATAAAAATTCTGACGAAAATTAAAACAACAACAATAATCAACCGTTTCATAGATTGCTACGCCATTACCTACGTAGCCGCGTAGCAGTCTACAGCGGCTACGACGGCTACGACTACGCCTTTTGTACAATTCGTTCAATGCAAACCACCGTAATCTTGTTAATGCAACCTTGTTTTTATGTTGTATTTCGTTTTGGTTTTATTTACATTTCTTAGATAGGAATGCTATGTAACTAAGAACATCTTGTAATAAATTACTGTATCTTACAAAAAAAGTGTTTATCAAGTCGAATTTACGAACCGCACTATAGTTTTTGTATTGATATTGCGTTATGCATTAGCTTTTATGTATTGTGAAGGAGACTCAGCGCAGTTTGAGATGAAGAGACTAAAGAGCTATAAAAGCAGTTGTATTACTGAAAATGGCCGTAAGTAATATACGTGAGCGCTTTTCCCTCAGGTAGCTGAGTCATTCGGAAATGTACAAACGTGCTTCATATAAGGGCACATGTATAGCAAACGTGCTTTCGTAATCATTTACTCTGTTTAATAGCTATAGGAGAGCACGGAGCGTATAAAACGTACGTGCACGTCGCTTGCACCTTTTAGTGCGGTGTATATCATCATTTCAAAAAAGAGAAAATGTTAACTAAACAAACTCAATTTATCAACTATTTTTGTTGACGATATACGTTTTGCGTAGACTGGATAATTTTGGCAAAAAGCTTAAAAGAAAAAGCAGATTCTCGTTAATATTTTCCAGCAACGAGTAAAGTAGCTGCCTCTAGCTGTCGCGTCTCAAAAATCCACTCTGTATTTTAAATAGGTCACGTTGATTAGTAATTTGTGCCGACGTTCCAAGAAATAACTTGATTTAAGGGACATCAATTCTCATCTGTTATGCATAAAGGCTTGTAAGCACTATCTGGTAAATAAAAAGCAAGAGTACTCTAGTGACTTAGCGAATATATTTTGATATACTAACAAAACTTCTTATCTACTTCGTTATCTCATAAAGTAAGAACATAAAAGCCACAACAAAGCTTCCGAATTGGAAATGCCGATGTGGCGTGTCCCCTAATCCTTGGCGAGGTCGTAATATAGGACGTCACGAAAAAAGACTATTACTCGAGGCAAACTGCTCGCTTCTTACTGCTTCATTACTTAATGTTGTTGTTTCAGCAATCTGTACCTAACGGTTTAATTATTTGCAAGCTGAATGGAACTTATTTGTGAAAAACATTATTTAACAAATAACATGTTGGTATCCTATCGTACATTTTCGTAATCCTGAAATAATTTGGTTTCAAATAAATAAAATATTTTCAACTTATTTTAACGTGTAAACCTGGAAGGTACCTTTTGTGAAAGGAACTTTGTTCATTTGTTTATCGCATAAATTATTCAGTTTTGTAAGTTGAGCAAAGTTTATCACAAAATAATATAATTTTGTTATTCTAATTTATATACGTACCTATCAAAACAAAACTTTTATAGGCCCAATCCAACCCTAGCTTGGGGGCTATTTGAATAGAAGTGACGGCAGAGCTCGAGATTTGCTCTGACTCGCTATAATTTAATTTGGAATAAGGATTTGCTTCCAAGTGTTGATTCAGTTTAGTCATGTCGTTTGTTCTGAGTTGTGACATCAAATCTGTTGGGAAACTATTTCAATCTTATACTTGAACAAATTATATAAGGTACGAAAAGAGGTTAGTTTATCATAAATTATATAATTAGTTATTGTTTATTATTATTTTTTTTTTATTATTATAATATTTTGTAGGGAGATAGATATAGATACTCCCTACAAAATATTATAATAATAAATCGACCACTTTTTTTAAAAAAAAAAAACGTTGCCCCACACTAGGATTTTCTCCTGTGTCGTGGGTGCGTTTACAAACATTCAAGTTCACATACACATTACACCCAGACCCGTAACAACAATTTGTGGATCACACAAAGTGTTGTTCCGTGCGGGAATCGAACCCGCGACACGTTGCTCGGCAGCCGGTTGCCCAGCCACCGCACCAACCGTGCAGTCAATTCTTTAATAGTATAAGTTTGTTTTTTACTCGTGAAGAGTTGTCATTGGCTGACAGACTCTCACACAAATTATTACTTTTTGTTTTGTTAGCTGTTAGTCTTCCAAATATGTTAAGTAAATAAAGGGTGGTTTACATTAACAAAAAAAAAGTACAAGCAATAAATGAAGAATCAATTTAATAACGAGATTAGAAACAAATCAGCGAGATAAAACGAATTTACATTAGAATCAAAAAACAATCCTTAATATAATTTGATGTTAGATGTCTCGTGAGGATGGTGAGGCAGCCGTGCGAGTATCACTCCCTGAAGGTACAACCGCTACAGTGGGAGTGCGCGAGGGCATGTCTGTAGAAGAGTTCCTAGCAGCAGCATGCGCCAGACGCTCACTCAATGCTCTCGAGCACTTTGTCAGAGTGAAGAAAAGGCGTGATATGGAAGATCACAACTATTTTGTTCCTCATCGCAGCGACCTCATTGAAACCTATGTAAGTATAAAGTCGTTTTAAACAATACTTTCAAAACTGACTATTATAAAATCAAGATATAACTGTACATTTATTAGAACAATTCTGCATCCAATCTAAAGAGGCAATCATCCAGAAAGCAAAACAATTTGCAAAACAAAATCCTCTCTTATTTTAAAATTCGTGGCGAAGCTAAATTGTATTCACAAAAGCGACAAGATACATTCTGAGATTCGCAACGTAATCTCATTTGAAATCATGATAGTGTTATCCAAACATAATCGCGTGATTACTTTTAATTTACTTGTATACCGCGCATTCATGCATGTGGAAATAAAAGTATAAAATGTTTTGTGACCGAGGTTGACGTGAGTAGGGTCTGACAGGGCCCATTCCGTCACAGGCTTTGCGCGACACAGCGTGGAAAGGTTATCAAAAAGTTATATTACTGTTACTTCTGGATCAACGAATGCGGAATGCATATGACGAAGTTAAATCCCATTTTGTTTGTTGTTCAAATGAATTCCATTTGCGAAAAGATCTCATAATGCTTTGAGTGGAAGGTAAAACTGAGCTCAACAATATTCGTAGAAATGTAAATTGTGTCAGATAAAAGATAGATTCATTTTAACTTTGTTTTATATGTAAAAATCTTTACTTTTTTCTTACTAATAAGATAATAAGTTCTTTTTTGTATTTAAAATATACGAAAAAATTTATATGAAAACTAAATGCAAGTTAGGTAAGCATGACAGGGTATTTTGTAAAGATAATGACTTAAAAACTCATAATGAAAGCAGAACCCCACAATTAAATACTTTCACGCGAATAAATTATAATAAGTAGGTACGTGCTCTACAAACAAACAATGCAAAAGTCGCAAAATTTCACAAAAGTTATTAAGAGAAGGAAAATGTAAATTTACACAAATGAATTAATATATTCGTCGTTTCGCGGTACGAAAACAATGTAGGTATTCAAAGTTACATTTAGTGCATACATACTCACATGTAGTACCCATGCCTAATTATCTCGTGAGCCCCACGAGCCTACCTACCATCAATTTTCGGACCGTGCTCCGTGTGGACGGGTTGTCACTTTGTCTTCAAAATAAACACAGCTGTACCTAATATTTATAACTACTACTCACCCACTATTTGTTTTGTCTGCTAAACTGCCACTAAGCTGAGGGATAGTTTATAAACACCGCGTTTGTCGCATTAAGCTCTAAAACTAAGTAATAACCAACCTTTTGATGCTTTTGAAATGCAGGTACCTAGTCTGAATGTATACATACACGACTCGACACTAAAAACTATCGCAATAAAATAAAAGGCTTATGGAATTTAACTTGATATTTTTATTGTCAATAGTTGCATACACACGAGGTTGTGGAAGTGTGCGCCAAGATCCTGTATCAAGTAGAATTACAACGTACGACGTTAGAGCAAATGTGGGGCTTCAGTGTAGAAGCTGAACTCATTGAGAACGCGGAGCGACAAGACGAGCTCTGCTGCTACGTGAGCCGAGTTGAAGACAAGAGCGTCGCCATGCAAAATGGTAATTTATCATCGTTCAACTTTATATTTCCATCTCCAGCGCTTGCATTTCTTTCAAGTTTTTATATTCCAACACTTTTTACCAAATTGCTGTAATATTCCTTACGATGAAAGTTCTACATTTTATTTCCATAATACACAGCAGCTGGGCTGCTGTATGTTTGCTACATTTTGTTCATTCACATTTTATTTATATTTAAAAATACCCACAAATTGCATTTAACATTACATAGTCTACCACTATTAACAAGGCAAAATTATTATAACAAATATGCCTCCGTTATTGACCTGATGAGTAAAAATAAGAACAATCATTCCCAGTACAGTTCTTTTTCATTTTTCTGTCAGGTATAATCAAAGGCGATGAAATAATGGTAATCAACGGAGCGATCGTATCTGACCTAGATATGATGTACCTGGAAAGCGTTTTGCAAGAGGAGCTGTCGCTCGTCATGATGATGAGGTATTTGAACAATAAAAAAATCTTATTTTTTACGTCATTAAGTGCTGAATATAAATCAAACAACAATAGAAACAGCTCGTGTTCATTAATCGATGAAACCGACTACGAACGCTCGTTAAAATAGAATAATTCATAGCAGACGGCAGCGAGAATATTTCTTAATATAAAAAGGTCGAACAGCGTTCCCATTTAGCGAGGTTCGAAGTACCACTGACAAACAGGAAAGCGGGCGCCTAGCACCTAATAAAACGGAAGTTAAAGAGCGCGCAGCCGGGGTAGGGTGGAAGGCCTGTTCATCGGCATTTCCCGCCCTCATACACCTGACCTTTCGCGGCCACGACAAGTTTACTGAAGCGCTCGGTGCGACCTACATAGTCGGCCGCCTGCAGCTCTGCGCCGGCCTCCACCTGGCTCGCAGCCGCTCCCGTCGCCTCGTCACCGCGTCACCGCGCCACCGTGCCGCAGCTATTGTGAACGACCGCAATTGAGCCTCTCGACGCTACCGCACCCGTACCGCGTGAAATAATGCTCCCCAACAAATGTCATCTCGAAACAAGCACTCGGGACACGATATTATTATTGTTGTGAGTTGTTTCATCTTCCCGTTCATATAAAGCCTTTCCGGCTTTAAGGCGCTCGCTTTTATTGTCTTATTAAACCTGCTAAAGTTTATGTGAATTATGAAATTATTGCGTAACTTACATTCAAAAGACAGGCTCACTAAATCTAAAATGAGTTCTACTCAATCAAAATCTACCGATAACATCGCGTCAGCCTGTCTTGAATGATTAAAAGTTGAAGGTTGAATTTTACCTCACGGGTTCTTAACAAAAGCTGTTTTCGATCCCGTTTTCATTTGATGGTAGCATTGCTTTCATAATTATTGAGCATTTCATGTTTCCATCAGAAAAGAAGTAAATCGTTTTCGTTTTATTTTGATTATCGCGACGCTGGAGACGAATGATTCTTACTGTTATATTATCTTTTATGTTGGCGTTTCATTCTCGTTCTTTTCAAGTTTCTAGACGTTCGTATACAGTAAACACATCACGTGTTGTTTCTGTAAATCGAATCAATTTTATCGTTCGGAAAAAGATTGCTATTTAGATAGCGGTTTGAACAGCGATTTATACGCAGGTCATCTCGCACGGAGCCGCCTGAGTTGACAGGAGTGATGCGCGCAGCCACCGACGATATAATCGATTCCCTCGTGTGCCCGCCACCACCCAGCGAGCCGCCAGTCATCTCCGATGACATGATATCCGGCCTCATCGTGCCCGCACCAGCCTGGAGTGAGTACCAAACCATATTGTTTACCCATATTTTTTACATGTATAGGTGATACCAATCCCCTTCTATCGCCCCTCAATCAGTGGCTTTTTACTTTAGCCCGGTACCTTTTATGTCGAACAGCTATTCAAAAACTGGGCAATAGAAGATGATTCAGTAAAACATTCAGATACATTGTGTACAATTTTCATTAGGGTTTTCAGGCGACCCGATAAGGTGACAAGGCAGATTATTTACGAAACATTTTGAATTTTCCCTGTTTCATTTGATAAATAGTTGCAATCTCACATTTATGATAGTTTTAGTGTAGTTCTATGTATGTATTTTCCTGGCCAAAAAATATTCGCAACCATGAACATTTTCACAATTGTTAGAACTTATACATATCAGAACATAAAGATTAAATCAGCATAAAAAGCATGTTTGTACATATTAAATTATAACGTCATTGATATATTTTACTATTTTGTTTGTTGTGTAATAGCGCTTAACAAGCAACTCTTCAATATTTCCTTTTACGTAATACTTGGCATCGTTTCGGCACCACACTGAATCCTCATTTTCGAATTGTGGCCGTCAGCCAGTAATGCTCTGTGCATAACAACGTACTATCGTACTATGCGGATTATTTATCGATCATCGTTACAACTCGTGCGATTCTGCTTATTGCCGTTATTTATGTCTATGCGAGTTATGCGAAAGCATTGTTTACCGTATACACAATCATCAAGAGCTCCGAGAGCCACAATCAGAATGCGATACGATAGCTTCGTAGTCGAAGCAAATAAGGCTCAACAGGGCTCAGTAAATGGAAGATATGCCAGTACCTAGCACACTTATTGAACGTTTCATTCGCTCTTAGTGATTGTGTTTCCAACAATACTATGTACTATCTTGTCTTTAAATACTGGCTGTGAGGCAATTAAACAATGTCTAAATATACATCTACTTACATAATCTACAAGCTCTTACTTTAAATCTCTTAAACAGAAAACGGCAAATTTAATCCACCAAAAGGCAGCTATTTGTTTGGGGAATATTTTTAAATTTAATTCATTCAAGGAGACCCTGCCAGCCTGGTTTTCCTTATGAAAGAAGTAAATTGAGAATTATTATTTCCTTACGAATTTTTTCCACCCCTTTTTCGTCCCTATTTCTGACTCGAGGCGTTTATACCGTGCTTGGTCATTATTTAAAGTTACCGATCCGAAATTGCTGCCCCTCTTAGGTTTGCAGTAATTTATTTCACGGCTCGAGCTCTAGCTATATAAGAGGCAATTATAACGACATATTGACTCGACGTGTACTTGTTGTTTGTTTTATGACAGCTATATACGTTCGAGTAAGTACCGAAGTGCGGCTTGACGCGGCCTGACTTCGAATCGCGGTTGGTCGTAACAATGGAAGGCTTTCACTATCGCAAACACATTATTTATCACGACATTCTCCACTAATGAAACTACTTTTCTGAGTTAATGGACATGTGGAAAGAAAAATAGTTCTTATTTTTTGCAGTAAAGCGGAAAGTTGACAAAGACGTGTTTTCACATTTCGTATAAGTAAACGTGGGAGTCAATTGAAAGATTGAAAGGCCTATGTTTAGCAGTGGATGTGTTGTATGTAAACTTAGCTTGTTTGTAACGCACGTTCGTTAGGCTCATAAAACAAAAGGTTCTGTATAATTCATTTTTTACAAATGCAGTTCTTCATTAACTCCACCACGCAATGAGAGATAAAAATAGAGAGTCAGGTTGTTGTGCTAATTCTGCAACAAAAATACTGGTATTCTAAATAAAGGCCACGACCTCGCCTACGGCTATTTGCCTGTGCCCGATGTTGACTTACCGCGGCCAAAAACTCATTGTGTGACTTCTTGTCATAAAGCGGCCTTTACATGAAAGTTTCATCACGAACAGTGTAATTTCCTCTCATGTTATTGAAATCTGAGCATCTCTTTTCAAACCAGTTTTATTGAACATTTTGATTTCACATTTCTTAATCTTTTCGTATTAAAAGAGGATTTGTGGAGAGATCGTTAGTATTATATTGACTGGAATATATAATATTGTGTGAGTATGTAGATGTAACGTCAAAGAACATATTTTTACAGCTTATATCTATACATCGAACTGGTTCAAATATCAAAGAGATAAAGGATATGATTTAATATAGCAACGTTTATAAAGAAAAGGTAAAATAAGGGCACGGATATACTATAGGAGCTATTCAATTTTGATTCCTGAGGAAACTCTTACGTGAACATTAAAATTTTGGTTTAGAATACAATAAAACTCCGTCGGAGACGACTCGACAATAAATTCTTCCGTATTTATCATGCCGAGGTAATGCTACCTCCTTGTATACCTTATGTTTTCCATCTACTTGAATGATGGATATTCATAAAACTTTTGCAATTTCTTCGTTTGTTATAAATACGTCTGCCAGTTGTGATTTACATACCTGTAACAATAATGAGTTTCGAAAATAAATCATTATGTCTTTTTGTGTGATTATATTTTCTAGATAGGTACATCGGCCACGGCATGGAAAAATACACTTGTATCTAATGAGATACTTCAAACACTAAATATTTTGCGTGACTAATAATAATTTTCACACTTTCAATACCTAGTTTTTATATGATTTGCATGTTAATGGTACGTTGAATACTATGTAGGTAAGGAGTTATACAGCCCGGACACGGACGCACACGGTGGCGACGCCGTCAACACTGGCCCACCTAAAGTCAGCTCCCGAACAAACTCGTTCGAAATCGAAAATCTACTCAAGGTACGTTACAAAATAGCAAAAAAATTACATTACGACGCTCGTCACATGCACGCCTCTGCGACTTAATCCCCGATTCAATTATCTAGCTCTTGGAGAATATTCCCGGTTTATTTCGTTAGCGTACCCGCATGGTAATGTCTCTCTCGAAAATAATAATCGTCTCTAGAGATTCCGCCAGCGTCCCCTATTATATCCCTTCCTAACTTTACGAATTATAGGTATCTATTGATTTTATCAAAGCTGGAAGTGACTCTTTACAATAATAACGGCGTAATCTTTCATGCTTATTTCTATACATTATTTCATTTGATTTAGACATCTCATCTTTTTTTTAATTGACTGTACGGTTACCGCGGTGGGCTGATGTGTAACTTGTAACGGATTCGAATTCCGTACGGAACAATTCTTTCCACAAATTGTTTTCCGGGGGTGAGTGTAACATTAATAAGAATGTGCAATCGAAATCTTAATATTCTATTTTACGGTACGTATAGAGCGCGGAGCAGGTGACAGGCTGGTGTCGATCTCCGGCGGAGACTCGACGTGGCAGTCCGACCGGTAGTGTTGCCAGCGCTGCAGCCGGCACGCCCTCGCGACATCTCTCCGATGCCGATAAACTCAGGAAGGTCCTGCTGGAGCTGGTCGATACTGAACGCGCCTATGTCAAGGTAAGGTAACCCACACCCACGTCCAACACCTTACTGGACAAAATACAAAATACTATTTAACCTAACTTGGGTGTTATTATGACATGAACTAAGGTTCCAATAAAATTTCAATATTAAATAATGATGGTAAAAAATCTGAATAAATAAAATTATAAATATCTTTTTAGCAATAATCTTCATAAGTATATTAATAATAATTATACATCCAAACTTATACTCACGTGTTCGTCCCATAAACCACAGAGTGCACCTACTGTGATAACACAATAATATTATACTTAGTATATTATGTTACTGTTACATTAGGTAATTGGTTAACACTGCAACGCCCTAGATGTCTCGTCAGGATCTAATTCTAGTTAGGTAACTGCGTCAACTCATCAAGTAGTTATCTATACAACATCTAGAGAACAACTTCGAGACATATTCGCGACTAGTTACCGGTAGTTTATTGCGGACTAAAATAGCTTGGGCTGCGGGTAGGCTGCTCCTTAACTTAATAAAAGCTCGTTACGATTCCTCGAGTCAACTGCGAAGCAATTCAATCTACAGATTCAAACAGAGTGAAAGATAAAGTAATAGTAAAAAGTCATCTTCCGTATAAATATTCATTCCGAACGAAAAGTTTTGATGGATTTATAAAACGTATTTAAAACTTGGTTAACCTGGTCGCACCTGCTCAGCGATATAACTACCTGTTCACGATTAAAAAGTTACTTTGAAATAAATCCTAAATGGGGTTAATCTTAAATTTAAAATTACGTTGCGGTCTTCATAAAAACTTTTTAACTACAAAAGAGGCTTATAGAAATAATGGATGAAGTAAGTGAAAAAGTAAAGCTATAAACGTATAATTCATTTTTATTTCCTTAGTACAAGGAATCTAGATCGAATCTATGAGTACTGTAAGTAATTATGATACTCAGTTAAAGTTACTGGACACTAGAACACAATATTCTGTATGGCTTAATCTGATACCAGTACTGAGGCATCTTAATACTAATTGTTCTACGCTTCAAAGCTCTTCAATATCAAAGCACTAATTACTGCAGAGAACCCCATATAGGTATTACATCTCAGACTAATTACATAATTCTACTGATAGTAACTTAATGCATATCTTAGGTTCAGTATTATAATGTTGTCGCAAGGCTGAATAGCATTACAAAGAAAAAGTTTGAATATTAATTCAGACACAAGAAGAATATTACATCTAAGATTGTTACTTCTAGCACCTGAACAACTTACTGGAAAACTACCTGGAACCTCTCAAGAAAGAAACTTTTTTATCAAACGCCGAGATCAACGCTTTGTTCGGCAATATACAGGAGATTGTGACTTTCCAAAGACAATTCCTGCAAAACTTAGAGGAAGCGCTTGAGGCTGAACCTAACTTCCATCACTTTGAATTCTCAAACCAGTTTAAGGTACAATATAATCATTTCTTTGATAATTTTATAAACCTCTTGTACAACATTTCATTTACTCTAACGACATTTTTCTCTACAGAATGCTCTCTTCGCGGTCGGAAATGCTTTCCTCTATTACGTCAACCATTTCAAATTGTACAGTTCATTCTGTGCCAGTCACAGTAAGGCTCAAAAAGTGCTACATCCAAGTAAGTGAACGTGTCTTACGAATATAAACGTAATTTTAAATGTTCTTTGTGTAAGTGCGTGATTAATAATTCGTGTCTTCTTGTAGATGAAGGTAATCAAGCTTTACAAGAGTTTCTTGCGGCTCGAAATCCAAAACAGCAACATTCATCAACGTTGGAGTCGTACTTAATAAAACCTATTCAACGGATATTAAAATATCCACTTTTACTTCAACAACTCAGAAATTTGACTGATGTTAATTCGGAGGAGCATCTCCATTTAGTGGGTGAGCAACTTGACATTTAGAATTTATTACAAATTGTAATTGTATTCTTAAGGTACAGATTAGGTACACTTCTTTCGTCTTCAAAATTATTGATCGTTTACTATTCTCCAATCTTAATAATGAAAGTTATTCTATTGTTATGATCGCTTCGTTTAATTAACCTTGATGGTTGTTACTTGAAACTATTAAACGTTTATGATTGATTGACATTATGAACAAATACTATTAAAATTTATACAATTTCAGAGGCTCTGAAAGGTATGGAAAAAGTTGCAGAGCACATCAATGAAATGCAACGAATACATGAAGAATATGGTGCTATATTTGATCACTTGTTTAGACAACATCAAAAGTCTTGCAAGCAACCTATAGATCTAAGTCCTGGTATGCATATATCTATTTAGAAATAATTCATCTGAATATACAAAACTATGTATAGTTCTAACCTAAATCTGTTTTTCAGGCGATTTGTTATACTACGGTGGAGTAGAATGGTTAAATATTTCAGACTTTTTAGGAAAAATAAAAAAGGGATTGGAATTGCATGCAATGTGCTTTGTATTTAAATCAGCTGTTGTCTTCCTCTGTAAAGAAAGACTGAGGCAGAAGAAAAAACTTATGGTACGTACACTTTTGACAAGAATATTTTAGTTCTTAACAAAACAGAAAATTGTGTATTTCAGTATTTATTTACATAGCTATCAAACTATCTATAGCAAACTCTTTCAATTTTAGGGTGTCTCATCTAAAAATAGTTCGAACGAAGTAGAAATCATAAGGTACCAGGTACTGATACCGGTGACGGAGGTTCAGGTCCGGGCTTCCTCTGCCAAGGATATGGACAGTCACTTCCTTTGGGAACTCATTCATTTACGAAGCCAACTGCAGCGTCGCTCCGAGAAAGTTTATGTTCTGTCTAACAGGTGCGAGTTTGAAACTATGATTGATTCCATTTCCATTCCCGTCCAAGTTTAGTTTTGAAACTATTTAAATGTTAATGATGGATAGACGAGTCGTGTTGCTCAATCAATTTGCTTCGAAACTTATTTAGCGACGGGTTTAATAGACGTCATTAATTGTACTATTAAGATGTCGCACAGACGTTTATTAATGTACAAAATTACTTACAGTGTGTTAGTTTCTGTGAAAATTATTCGGCTTTCAATTGCTTAATACTTAGTTCAGAACTTGTGGAAATCTTGTTTTCCTCCTGAAATGAGAATTAAATAGCAAGAATATTCACCGGTACATATGAAAACCAAACATAAAAGAATAACATATTTTTTATACATCTTATTTTTAAATATATTTGTAAATACGTAGCACGGCTGACTTCCGCAACGCGTTCCTGAAGACAATCAGGCAGATCATCCGTGAATCAGTTCGCAACATGTCGCTGCCGACCTCTCGGCCTGCCCCGGCACCACCGCGAGCCCCACACACTCTCGACCGAGAGAGACCTAAACACCAGGTAATAAGACCTATAATCCAACAAAATCTATAACATGGCATACGTAAATAGATAAAAACGAAAGAAGGTCGTAAATAACTAACGAAACAATAACGATCAGTCTTCTGCTATCTCGGTGGTGTAACAAATCTATTTTTTGCAGGTGCAAGTGATGCAAGGATCTCAAACCCTTGGTAAAACTAAGAAGCCTAAAACATCAGGACAACGATTATCGGCCGGAAACATTGAAGTACGTATAATAGTCATAGTTTTTTTGTTTTTAAATGTACCTGTTGACGATATGTACACGTAATTACATTTTAATAAAGTTTAAACCTTTGTTGCCCTTAAATAAACATCAATTTTAATTGATATTTATTAAAAGGTGGGTGACTTATCACGTGAGAACTCTCAGGATGCAGAGGAACCCCCACCAGAGCCTCCACCCGAAGAGCCTGCCTTCAGGCATCGCAGCAAGACACTTGGCGATACCACTGGTTAGTGTAACACATCTATCTTTACTAAAAGCTATTCAATATTAACTTTTCTAACAATTTTGCAAGTAGTTGAATTACATTAATTATAAAGAATTAGGCTGTTGATGAAGCAAAGAGGTATGTAAGAATCGTAGCAATTCGCGTTCCATAGTCAGCTTTGTCAACCTCCATGGAAGATAGGCGTAAAATTATTAATGTAGGAATTACAAACACAGGGATTGAATTACTAGGTAATACTAACACTCAAACTAAGAGCAACAGGTTTTCAATAATAAACAAAATAATCTTAGCGTAGTAGCTACTGGCATCTAATAGCATGAGTGCACCTGTAACCGGCTTGTCGCAACTAACAGAGACGGTAGTGAAGCGCGCGCCGCCGCCGCCGCCGCCCGACGTGGACAAGTGCGACCCCGGCTGCAAGTCCGAGGGCGAGGACGAGCAGCCGCCGCCGCCCGCCAAGCGCGGCCTCGGCAGGACGCCCAACCATCTCACACTCAGGTATGTACTTCACGTTCATTATGTAGAGCTCTACACAAACGTTCTATCAATAGGATAGTTGCTAGGGTATGAAAATTAAATGTGTAACTAGTCCGTCAGTCAGTCAGATAGTGAAAAAATATTAGACACCTATTTTTTTATTTCCTCGTGTGAAGTTACAATAGTTAGATAAAATGATGTTAAGCTGAGGAGTGGAAATTTATTCCGTCATAACCTCACAGCATATTTTAAATTAATATATTGTCGAAAGTATTTAATTTAATAAGAAAAGACGTGTTTATGTTTTCACATAATCTACCAGACAGACCTTATAATAAAATACTACATGTAATGTTGTTGCATTACAGCACGACGTCGACGCTGAGTGCAGGCAGTACAGGCAGCCAGGCTCGCCTCATCCAGTCCTCACACCAGCCCGCACAGTACCAACCCATGACCATGGCAAAGGATCTAGGTAAGCAGGAATCGCAGTCTCTCAAATCATCACCGGAACGAAAGACGTCTACAACAGCACCAGAGAAGAGGATTAAGGTCATACGTTCCTGTAGCGGCAGTAGCATCAATAGGGATAGGTCTCCCAATAGATCGGTCGATCACACGTCACCAGATCGAGATCGCGTTACTAAAGTCATCGTTTGCAAATCTCCTAATAAATCCAGTTTGAAGCAGACGAAAACGTTGCATCGATCTCCTCGAGGAAGCTTCGATCAATCAAAGTCTCCTCGAGGATCCATTGACAAATCACGATCTCCTCAGCAAAGCTTCGACGGATCTCGGTCACCTCGTGGAAGTATCATGAAATCACGTGAAAATAGCGTCGACCGGTCGCGATCGCCAAAACCTGCACCAAAAAAAGGAATCATGCGAACCCCACAAGCTAGTTTTGATAAATCTCCCTGTAAGTCACCAAATTTAAGCCGACGATCTTCGAAATCCGGTGGAGAGAAATTAGCACGTCTTGGAACTAATTCTTTAGATAGAATGACTCATTATTCTCAGTTAGCTAAGGCAGAAGATAAGGCAATAAAAATGGGTATCGTAGTTTCAAAATCAACTGAATCTATTGCGAAGGCCATCGAGCATCCAACTTGTGTTCAGTGCTACCTTTCTGGAAAAAAGCAAAGTAAAACCTCCTAGCATAAGGGGAAGGGCAAGTCGCCCAAATCTCGACGAAAGTCAATGACTGCTCAGTCGATCTTAACATCATCAGATCGAAGCAGTGTCGAGACCTTGGACGACATGCCCCAAGAGCGTGCACGATGCACCTCAGCACGCCACCACGAACGGAGTGAATTTGATCAAATACATGTTTAAATCAATTCAATAAGATTAAATAATTCTCGGATTGTGGCAACCTCGGATGATACATTTTTATCTGAAAGTAATCAATTTAATATACCAAGTCTTACCTAACGTACTAAACCTAACATCATCATGCAACCAAGGCAAATATAAGTTGCTTCAAAATTTGTCAGTCGAAGGTACTATTAATTCAAAATAACTTTAAAGACAGCTTTTAAAAGTTGTATTATAATTGAATACTATCAGAATATTATAAAGACAAAAAATACTAACATTACAAGACTGTTTCACCAATTTGTGATCTGACTACCAAGACGTGAAATCATTTGAAATTAAATAAGGCATGAACCGTATTCTCAAATCTACGACAAAATTACCCAGACGTTCAAATAAAATGTATACGTGAACATTTTCAAATCGTATAATTCAAATCAATGTCGCAGTTATAGTGAACTGTACTAGCCTAGAGTAATTTCACGACTCTCAGTGTAGAATTAAATGTACCCCCGTAAAATATTAGTAGACACAATAAATATTACAACCGTATATTATAGCATGTTAAAGTTAATCAACTCCTATTCTAGATAAATCCAAGTGCTAAGTGTTACATAATAATGGCTGTGGTATCGTACTGATGTTAATCCTTTTATCACCTTCGTCATAGTATTCTTCTTGTTACTTTGTACTGTTATTATACATCCCGATAGGTTTAATGTATTATTCTGTAGATGGCCATGGATTTGTATCGTTAATTAAGTCTTCCAATTCTAAGTATGTATAAGTAATGATATTAATTTACTTTACCTCTCGCATTTCTTCAGTACCTGCTCAAATTAGTATTAACGTTATCAATTTATTAAGTATATTCCATAAATATTTTACACTCCAAACAATATTATATTATTAGGTATATACATGCCATTGTGCACTATACGTAATATTTAATTATGTATATTTATAATTTAAGGCATTTTCATTTGGTTAGACATATATTTATGAATGTACATTTATTATTATTATAGATAGGTTATTTCCAAATATTTGCACTAATAGGTATATTATAATTAAATACTCAAATTATTGTGGCCAACATTCGAAGCTTCGTAGCATTATAGGCTGGTTGTGCAATGTATTATCGAAGTAAATATTTATCACCAATCGTAATTGTTCATACGTAGATACATACTGAATATATTTAAACCTAATTATACTGAACTACTTTTGTGGATACATCACTCATCGAGGTAAATGTAACCAAAGAGTGTTTCAGATATCTAACGGTATAGTAAATCACTGTACGCCGTTACACAAGATAATTATCATCCTCAAATGGCATCCTACTATAATATGCATTAATAAAAAATATTGACTTACATATATGGTTAAAGTTATAAAGCTAAACAATTTACTATTAAAATAATAGGCTAGCTGTGTATCCAAAATTATAATATAACCAAATCGACGTAGACAAATACACTTTCTCTTTGTTCACGTAGTGCTTTACCTCCTCCGTAGCTGTGCACAGACTCTGTCAAAATAGATGTTGCACCCACGAGCAAAAGTGAATGTCCTTAAATAAGTAATCAATAGTGAGTAAAGTAAATATATTCAATGCAAATTAATGGATCGGTGCACCGTAGATTCTATCGTCACTGTGTGTATCTAGGCTACCGCTTAAGTAAAGTAAGTAGATGTTCTAACTAAAGTAGTGGCCGCCGCCAAAGCCCAGCATCGCCCCTACCGCTTGAATGTTCGATGACGACGCGCTCGCGGCGGCGCGCCCCCGCCCCCCACAACACTCATCAAACATTCAACTCTTTGCTCGCGTGCGCGATTCCCGGCGATCGGTCCCATCCGTCCAAATTCCGTCAGCGCAATGCGCGCCCACAGCCGTGAGATTATGTAAGCCTAGATCACACGGCACCTGTTCCATTGATATTGCAAATTGGATGCCAAAGTACAGTAAGACAAGAAGTAACGGTTCTTACGGATTTTGATTATTTTCAACTGTCAATAAATAACTACAGTTCTACGTTACAATGTAACATGGTGACTAACGTAATGGATCGTCGCCTTTCTACATGCCCAGTTCTTTTGAGGTATAAACAATAGAGGTCGTTACTGTACTGTGGTATCCACTCATGCATCTTTGGAACAAATGAAGTGTGAAGTGGGCTTTATAAAGAGTTCGGTGTTTGGTGTGTTGTAGGATCGCCCGTGTGGAAACCGCGCGACATGTCGAGCTCGGCGGGCGGGGGCGGGGGCGGGGGCGCGGGCGCAGGCGGCGCGGCGCCCACCACGCTGCCGCGGTCGACGCGCGCGGCGCCGCGCCCGCACCACCTGTCCGCCAGCCGCAAGTCGCTGGCGCCCGACCACCGCCACTAGACGCCGCGCCCGCGCCCGCGCTCGGAGCCGCTGCGCCTCTCCTCCCCGCGACCCCCAGCTCTCGCAGCTGGTCGCCCGACTTATGTTGTCCGCCGCCTACCGAACCCTAAAACCAAATCACTTCACCATGCGATGTTTGTGTATCTCTTGTCGTACCCCTCAAGTTTCCTTCACTTATGTATTATTTTGCTCTATCTCTTAACTTCGTTCTAAAGCTCAAAGTTCACCCAAATGAGTTAAAATCAGTCTCCGTTATTTTGTTTTCGTATATAATTTTTTTAATTCATAAATAATTTAAGCTCAAAATATATTTGTGTTAGGTGCAAAATCCTGTGCCCGTAACGAATAAGACTGCGTGCGGCTCTTTTGTGAAGTATGGTGTACCTACTTAATTATATCGAGACATGATTTGACAATACCCTCATTAATACAACAAATTATTTGGTGAGATCCTTCTTTTGTAAAATAATAACCTTCTTCTAAAGGAAAACTAGACATATTGTCTGAATATATAAGATGACTTGGAGTTCTAACAGGCATTATAACATGTCCTTGAAGATTTCCTTGTAAGTACATAATAGAAAGTAAATATATGGCAGAACATAACATTTTATGGGGTTTGAAATATAAATAGAAATGGTAATTCGAAACGCGCAACAATACAGTGTCGCATCATGTTCTTGACTACAATATGAACAATTGTTGTTTAAATAAACCTCATATGAATAGAAATAAGTTTTATTTAAAATCGACCTACAAGACACGTTTATTTAGGTAGATCTATTTATAACTACAAATAAATGACAATATCAATAGAAAATCAAGACATTTTTGAGTCCCATTTAATTAGTTTCAGTGATAAATGTTAATGATATGTTACTTTTCCATCGAAAGAAACGGATTGTAACATTCGCATAGAACATTCTACTTGTAATAGCGCCTACACCATAAAACTGTAATTTATATACACTAAAGTAAACGTAGTCGGAAGCATGCCACCACTCTACAGAGACACCCTCGTAAAGACTTTCTACTTTAGCTTTATTTAAGGCATTCCTTTGATACTTGGTTAAGCATGCGAATACCCTATAGATTCGTTTTGTACGGACTGCTCTGTGCCAAATTAGGTACTCTCGACACCTCCTTGTGCTTGATACTTGTCGTGAAGATATTCCTGAATAAATAAATATATTGTCAGAGTAGTTAGCTGTAATGTATTTGCGTTTCATTTCGTCACATTGGCAACTCACTACCCTATAGTTCAAAATGCACTAACCAAATGGAAAATATACACTAGGTAGTTTTGATAATAATTTCTCTTCGTGATCAAATTCGAAAGTTCTATCATAGGCTAGGTGAATGATATAACATGTATCCACAAATTGGGTTTTACTATTATTGAATGTATTATACTTATATATGTATGATTGTTAATTTGCTGTAATATAATGTAAATGTGTTGAATGCAGTCGCGGAAAACTGTAAACTGGATCGACGAAATACTTTGAACCCCTGAATCTTGTGCTGCTACGAGTAAGGTAGCTCTTAGTAATATATTATTATCAGAATATTTGCTGTAAATGTGTGAACACCTACTGTGCTGCTAGTAAGGGATATAAATATATGATATGTTGTGACTTGTAATAATATATTATGTAGATCGGTGGTGTCAAGTATCTCGTCGCACTTTGGTAGGTCTTCATGTCGGGACATATCAACGGCGGTGGAGCTATCTCGTTCAGCTTATACGTTTTCTTGTGATTTAGTAAATGTTTATTATTTTTAAGTATTTTGCAGTTACCAGGACTATATATGTACACAGTATGCACTATGATACTTAGATAATACCTGTGTAATATGTATGTATATTATTGTGACCACATTATATTTTCAAGTTTGAATATTGTTTAAGTGTTTGTTTTGTGAGTTATTGAAATAAAACAGTTTATTAATATACATATGTTAAAATATTCGAATTTAATAATTACGAACTTATACAATCAATTTATAGATTATTATTATACTAAGAAAATTATAATTAATAAAATGAATAAACAAACACGTGTGAAATTTAAATGAAGGATGAGCTCATTAATTGCGATTGTATTTCATACTTCAATGACATTTGGAAGTAAAGTAGAAAAATGAATGAATATTTAGAAAGACTTATTGAAGTAAAATACGAAAGTAACTAATGTTATAATAAGTATTGAACTTTTATAATTTGTTGTTTGAATTATTTGCCGATTCCGTTGTTTTCTCGTTACTTACTGACAGTGTATTATCGGGAAAACCTCACCTATACACAACGTTACATATTTATGAAGTTGATGAACTACTTAACAGATTTAATGTGGATCTTCTTGTGTCTGTCGATCACTTTCGTGTACTTTTTATGTATAGTTTCCTCTAATTCAGTTATTCGAGTATTTTCCTAATGTATCTTAATTATTGTCTTAATGAACTATACATTTATTTGTAGTTTCCACACAATTAAGTAAATCCCTTGGACTGAATCTTAACCACGTTTAATTTATAATGGTTTCGTCGTCTAAATTTAAAGTGCCTTCACATGTTTTAAATACATTGTGCACGTGGGTCTTAGTTTCACAGACAAGTTATCCAAAAATCTCTCGAGTAGTTTGTCAATGCCTGCTAAATAAGAGATGGTATTAATTCTAGTATCCTTTAGTGGCTTCCAAAACAACTAGTCTAATTTACAATTTTAATGATGTATTTATTGTTTTCATAAGTATTTGATATGTTAAATTTTGTGACACGTATGGAAATTACTTTTTATTGCTTATGAATAAAACTAAAATATGATATAATCCTTTTACTTATTTCAATGCCCTGTAATCCCATGATCATCCTATCCAATGATTTGTATGAATGTTGACGGCACGGTTAGCGCGGTGGCTGGACAACTGGCTGCCGTGCAACGTGACGCGGGTTCGATTCCCGCACGGAACAACTGTTTGTGTGATCCACAGACTGTTGTTCCGGGTCTGGGTGTCTAGTGTATGTGAACTTGTATGTTTGCACCCTCGACACAGAAGAAAATCTTAGAGTGCGCAACGTTTTTTTTTATAAGAAAAAAAATGAATGTAGAAAGATGGCTACTGAAATTTTAGGGCACGTATTTATTTATATTTTCTTTCGAACAGCGGAAGGTTTGGGGGCAGTGTTCATTTTTCATCTTAATAAATAAAATCCATCAATGTAATCGGTACAATGTGTTTATTAAATCGTACATCGACGTCCATAAATCAAACATTTCAGTGTTTCGGGATTCAAAACCTTACAATTTGCTAATAAAACAGATTTTCTAAATTGATATGAGTGAAACATTCAAAATATAATTAAGTATGTATTTACAAGGTTAATAATAATTATAACTAGATAGGTACACAATATTTTTCATTAAATATTTTTGTTCATCAATTTTGAACCGCCTCAACAAATTTACATAAAACTTACTCGTCTAAATTTTGTTGGCCTAACGTTTTTAACGAATTTTGACAAAAACTTAAAAAGAACAATTCACTCATACCTGACCTCAACAATAGGTAAAAACTATGGAGGCCTCATAACTACAATATTTTAAAACGATTTAAGTTCATTATACAGTCACGTTTATCATTTATTTATTTATTTATGAAAGATTCCAGCTATGTTATTATGAAAGTAAAGAAAATTTCGAAATACGAATCTACGTGAAAAATGCTCTAGAATCTATTTGTGGCAAGTAGGTAAGATTAAAAATGATTACTTTTAGTCTGAATTCCTATGTTATTTTCATGAATAGCGCTATAAAATGATGAATATGTTTTTGTTTAGTTACGGACAAAGATGGTTATGTGTGTAGAGTGGAAAACTGTTTAAAGTAAACACATTACAAATTAGGTAATAACAAATGAGATGAAGAAGCGGTACATTAAGAGACAATAGTTCAATGATCAGGGAACAAAGGGAAACATTAATATGGTAGACAAAATTATGATATACTCACTCGGGAAGCTCTATTTGTGAACACCTATATAATGTATAACCTCATTACCGTCTTTACATCTCTCTACATTAGAAATTATATTCCTTCCTAACATTACTTAAACAAATAACAATAGGACTATCTAAGAAGATGTATATATCGTAAATACATAATTTATGTGGCACTGGCTACATTTGTATCCTTTTAACTTTGTTCACCACCATCGATTGGAGTACAAGGAGTTAGGATAAGGGTGGGATAAACATAACTTTGACGTTTAGGTTTAAATATACACTTTCATTTCATTTTCGAAAATAAATATTTAATTTTTTTTAGCAATTTTGCAACAAATCTTTTCTTGCATTGGGTTTTTGGAAAATGAAACGAAAATATGAATCCAAAGTCAAAATTCGAAATAGACTCCTTGTTCAAGAGAAAATTGTTCAGCGTTTCCTTATATTTAGTATATTCCTCTTTAAATGTAAGCCTGCAGTAATACATTATGTAAGAAAGTAAACGCACCTTCTAAATAACTCGAAATCGGAAGAAATGGTGTACACGCTAGTTAGATAAAGTCATACCTAAATTGATCACACTATAACTAAATAAATACAATCGGAATAAGTTTATTTTTAATCTTAATAATAAACACTAGGTACTAAAATCATACTTCGTTCCTTTCTACTAAAAAAATAACAAAACATTATTAAATCAATAAACTTTGCAATAAAATAATTTAGTGCACACCACGATTATTTTAAATATATATATTTATATTTATATATATAAAGATAATCATTAAATAACTCTTATTAAGTTCATTACAATATCTAATAATTAATGAAATACTCGATTTAAAAGAAGTTTCATTACGCTATTATATTTTATTATGGTGTTTCATCAAATTATGCTAGAATAAAATTCATCCATCCTAATTTCATATCATATTAAATACGTAAGGCACTCCATTAATTTTGCTGTTTTTTTTTAAATCGAAAAGGACCGAAAATACTGTCACACAAGTTTTCTCTATAAAAATGAAGACCACTGGAAGTTACTGTTATCCATGCACCGCACATTATAAGATAAATTTATTTAAGTATTAAGCTCGAAACAAAGTAACTAACATCAACTTTAGCTTCCGCTGACAATCAAACAGATGTAACAACAAATTCGACAGGTGCTATACAAACGAGTCCCGTGACCTCTTTACACAAAAACACTTTCATTCGTTGTGGAATCAAAAGGGGTATGAAATAATTCGGAATTTTTGGGTTTCTCTGTTCTTACATAAAGGCAGCTTTCTCATAACTGACCGCGAAACCACGTAATCGATAAAAAATCATCTGTAAGTGGACAGTTTAACATCTAATGAATGACAATATTAACATAAATACCAAATTTTAATTAATTTGTAGGACATAATTTACATAGCAACCTATATTAAAACATATACATACACAAACAACTCTATCACAGACACTAATCATTTACAAAACTCATGTTAATAAATACTCAGTTTCTAAACGAGAAACGACATTAGTTCTTTGTCACCAAGCAACCGTTTAAGTTGATATACCTAACTAAACATAACAACAGACACTTTGTTGTAACATTAATTCAGCTAGGTACTAGGTAATCGATGGCCACTGATTACCAGTATATACCTACGCGATATATTGCTGTCGTATTTGCGATTCTAAATGGGAAATTAAAATCACGACAAACACTTTACATCAACGTTGTTGGACCCCTAAATATTCAATTAAAAAGCCATTTTATTCATAAGTAATCTCTTTAAAATTTTTATCAAATTTAACTACCTATTTATACCTACACACATGACTTGTTTCATTACTTTCTGAAAAATTTTGAATGTTTATAATAAGACCGCGCGGCGTCTCATAGCCCCTCAAATATTTTCAATAACGATCATCATTTATTTGTTATAATTATTATTATAATTAGGTTTATAACTAACAGAAATAGGAATCAAATTATATGAATCGTGTTATTATGAGTTTATATTTAGAAGTTTTATGTTATGTAGGTATGTAATTTCAAAATTATACAGGATAGCCCAAGAAAGCATATTTATTAAAGGGAACAATTAGTTTTGAAAGATCAAGATTTAATTATTTTATTAGTTAATTACAAGCTACTAATTTGTTTTTTTATTATTTATTTTATTTAAGTTAATGTTGCTATAATTTTCTTTAAAATCCCAGAACATTCATAAAGTATTTCGTTGAGCTTATTGCGCATGGTGTGTGCACGCGACCGGGTCGTGTATATTTGTCTAAACGTTGGTCCCTATAATTGCTATTGTAATGTTATGTCGTACATAGCAACGCAGAATGGGGCGGACGACACCGCGCGAGTAGCGGCCGGGCTCTCCGAATAAAGGCACATTGAGTCATGATTCATTTGTTATCCTATATGCAGTACCTAACCTTCCCACTTCCTCGTTATAATATTTCTCATTTCAAGATCGGCCTAAAACTAGTTAAAGGGATTAACTAATTAATCTACTTTATATATTGAATTAAAAGTCACACCACTATTTTATCCGGTCGTTTAAATTTTCGTAATCTTCAGTAATTTTGACATCACATCATAATAGTCCTATGACATTCAACTCCTCATCTCAATTCTACTCATTTTGGCAACTTGGTGGTGGAACTACAATTTGTCTAATTTAACTAAAAGGCATACTTGCCTACAAATTAGTACTAGAGCAAAGACAACTTAAAAGTTGTCTTCGCATTTGATTTCCCGCGACGAGGGTTGCGCCGCGGGTTGGGAGGACCATTGAGGTTCAACAGATCCATCCCACTCGGGAAACGACTCGTACATAAAATTGTCGGCGGGAGTATCGTCCACTGCGATCTCCGTCCGACTAAATGCCTCAGCAAATTTCCCAATCTCTGTGGACCCAAACGCTTGTTGGAAAGCTGGCAGCGGAACTACTGGCGGCGCCCGCTTCTCTTCGGGAGGCGAGCGACGGGGCTCGACAGGAAAACGTTCACGAGGAGCGCGGCTTGCTTCACTCTGTGTTACAGCCGGCGTGAATTCGGGGGTATTTCTTTGCCTTGCACTACCCTCTCCATTGTAATGCGTATCTTCCGTATAAACAGGATAAGGCGTAGATCTCCCATCTTGTTGACAAGCCTGACTCTGACTATGCAAATGAGCACTCTGTAAACACGTAATAAAAATAACCTTTGAATTGTGATTAGCATAGGTAATAGAATGTAATGAAGAAAATAAGCTATAATATTTTACTGTAAAAATGAAGTTATGGTTGGTTTCATAATATTTACACAAATATTATAGAGAATATCCATTAATAACCTTCATCGGGCGACATTCAGGAGGATACCGCATGTGGTCACGCGAGCACGCATTGCGCGGGGCCCACCCGTTAGCTGCGTTCGCGCCACTCCAGCCACCGCCACCCATAGCACCCATCTGCTGAAAAAGAAAATATACATAGTAAGTACTGAAACACTACGTCACGTAGTTAGTTAATCAAATGATACGTTAGAATAAAGTCATTTAAGGATTTTTTTCTTAGTTAAACATATATCTTCTCACATCAGATCAGATCTCAGAGTATATCTTCAGTGTATCTGAAGTCTCCACTAAGAATTTCGAATTTAAAATCTCTATGCTTAACTTGAGCATCGAACACAAACTCTACCAACCTACATCATTTGTTACTACAAATATGGCTGCCCATCAAATAAAAATAAATATCAGCCTAAAAAAAGTATACTAATAAAATAAACTGTTTGTATGTACGTATTACCTGATAATGCGGCCACATCTGCGGTTCGCAGTAAGCGGGACCCCGACCGTTCATTCCACATTCTAGCGGTGGCTGAAAGTACAAAGGAGTTATGAAATTTTATTAACTCTATAAGATAATTATAACACTTCTTCGATAAAATTTAATTCATTAATATACGTTACATTCATGGCGATATTGAGCTTTATTTATTTAATCTTACAATTAAGAATAACATAGCAGTACGTTATTTATGAAATATTAGAAGGGAGTAATTCTATATACGTAACAATTTATGAATAAACATGTTGCTAGGCGTAAACCGAAGAGTCTTCGTCAATTTGTCAATATTTTTTTCAATCATTATAATAATAATAATAATATCGTTTATTTCTCAGTATATGGTACACACAGATCTTAACAATACAGCAGTTTCACATACACAACCGTCTCCGGTGTAGAAATAATTATAATAGTATTACATTTCATATTTTACCAAAAACATTGATTCTATATAGTACTATCTAGTTTATTAAATATCTGGACCACCTACTTTATAATATAAAATGTCATTGATTTTTATAAAATTAAATGTTGATCGATAAAAGTCATAAGTAATTAAGTAGGTAGTTCAGTAGTCACAATGTAAGATGTCAAGGAATTCAATTATTAGATACAATCGTCATAATAATACAATAATAAAATGTCGAAATACAACACAATTCATAAACAAGTCAAGTAAGTACCTACATACTGTAATTTATAAAAGTCTAATTACTTTATTATTTCCATGACTTATCCTCTAAGTATTCTCTAACACTGTAATATTGTTTTTCTACAAGGCGTTTAAACAATAACTTTTTGAATATTAGGACAGGCAAATCTTGAAATTTGTTTGGTAAATTATTATAAATGATAATAGCCATGCAGTAAACATTTCTCTTAAATAACATTAATTTTATTTGGGGTAATTTCAATCTATCTTTGTGTCTTATTCTACTATTTGGTTTTAAACCGTTTTCTTCAAATAAACTATAATTCCTTTTTACAAACATGCATGTTTCAAAAATATAAAGACACGGTAAAGATAAAATATTAAGATTTTGAAGCAATGGCTTACAACTTTCTAAAAAGTGGGCTCCACTCATTGCTCGGATACATTTTTTTTGTGCTTTAAATAACGTCTCGACCTCGACCGAGTTTCCCCAAATTATGATTCCGTATCTGATTACCGATGCCACATAGGCATTATAAGCAACTATAGCAGTCCTTAGGTTTATTGTTTGTCTCATTCGTCTCAAGACATACACAAATCGATCCAGTTTTTTTCGTGTTTTATCTATGTGAGGTTTCCAGGTGCAATGTTTGTCTACAGTTATACCTAAAAATACACATTCATTGACCGTGTTTATGGTGAAATTATTAAATTGAATGTTGAGTAAATGATGTGTGTTTGTGTTAGGTGCTTGGAATTTTATTACATTCGTTTTTGTCATGTTTATTTTTAAGTTGTTTTCTTCTAGCCATTTAGTCACCTTATCCAGTGCTTTAACAATATGTTTCTCTAAGTCATCATTATCTTTGCTTTTAATTATCAGTGTTGTGTCGTCAGCAAATAATACGCATTCTTCATTGACCGCTTGAGGCAGGTCGTTAATGTACAACAAAAATAACAGAGGGGATAAAATGCCTCCTTGGGGTGTGCCAATGATTTTCTTTTTGTACCTTGATTTGTATGTGTTTTGTACATTTTCATACGTTCTTGTTATTTCCACGCATTGCTGTCGATCAGCAAGAAAGCTTTTGATCCATTCATTGGCCTTCCCGCGGATTCCATAGTGCGAAAGTTTGGAGAGTAGTCTCTTATGACAGACAAAGTCAAAAGCTTTCGTCATGTCTAGAAAGATACAGGCTATTTTAGATTTTTGATTTAGACTTTCTGATATTTGTTTGATCAGTGAGAAACATGCTGAAGTCGTCGAGCTCCCCTTTCTAAACCCAAATTGTTCCTTTCTTAGAATATTACATGATGTTAAAAAGTTATCTAGTTTATTACATACAATTTTTTCTAATATTTTTGATAATATAGGGATTAACGTGATTGGCCGATAGTTGCTCATATCCTGCTTTGAGCCTTTTTTGTATAAAGGTTTCACAACAGAAAATTTTAGACGGTCTGGAAAAATTCCTTCACTTAAGGAAAGATTAATTATGTAGCTTAAGGGCGAGACTAAGCTCACCGAACAAATTTTTAACACTTTAGTATGTAATTCGTCATAACCTGTTGCATTTGTATTTCGTAAACCATGTATTGTTTTATACACATCCCTTGCGTCTATTGGTGTTAGGAAAATACTTTTCTGATTTTGAGGAATCGTGTAGCTGGTATTCTGATTGTTTTGCTGTTGTTTTTGGCTTGAGTTGGTTAGTGATATGTAGTAGTCATTAAATTGGTCACAAATATTTTTAGGATTGTCAACAATGTCAGTATTGATTATTATTGATTCAATGTCAGAGTAATTTTGCGTATTGTTAATGTTAGCTTTTATTAAGTCCCATGCTGCTTTACTTGCATTTTTGGCTTTGTTGATGTACTGTAAACTTTTAATTTGTTGTGCTTTATGTATGCATCTTTTCAATATCCTGGTGTAGTCATCAAATTTCTGTTTGTTTCGTTTTTTATTGTCTTTACAAAGCTTATATTTTAGGTATAATGTTCGTTTTTTAATACAGCACCGTTTTAAGTTTTTAGTTAAACCTCGGTTTTTTACTTGTTTATTACAGATTTTAATTTTAATTACAGGAAAGCATAACTTATAGAAGAGTGTTATTATATCGTGGAAACAATTGAACGCTTCGTTTGTTGATTGGCATTCGTATATCTCAGAGAATGATAAGCTTGATAAACATTTTTTAAATTTTGCTATATTCATTTCACTAAGGTCCCTTATAGTTTTAAACCAGAAACTGTAATTGTCTTTAGGTTTCTCGTTTGTCTCCACGTTAATTGTTAGCGATTGAGCTGTTTCGTGATCGGAGAGTGCCAAATAATGCAGTCGAGATTTAGCGTTGTGTATATTGCTAACAATTAAGTCCAAACAAGACATGTTCCTCGTGGGTAAGGTAATATGGTTTTTTAAGTTGTTATTATTAAGTAACGAATTCAAGTCATTAGACACTTTATTAATTTTTAGCATGTCTATATTCCAGTCACCACATATGACGACGTTTTTGTTAACGTTTTTGCACAGTTTATTAATGAGCAATTCTAGATTTTTAATAAATGTCGTAGCTTCATATGTAGGGGTTCTGTATATGCATACCACTGTTAGGTTAACTTTAATTATTTCAACCGCGCAGTACTCGAATTGGAGAGGAACTGGGGGTATAAGATTTACTACCTCTTTGTATTGCAAATATTTTTTTATTAGGATACATGAACCACCCCGACGTTGGTTTGAGCGAGAGAAGTAGGATGCTATTCTGTAGTTATCAAGTCTGAGGTTTGCTTCAGAACCATTCTTAAGGAAGGTTTCTGTTAGACATATAATGTCAATAGAGCCTAGTTCAATTTCCAATTCCTTTATAGCAACTTCGATTTGTTCTTGTTTACTTAGTACACCTGCAATATTTTGATGAATCAATGTTATTTCTGTGGTTTTATTTTGCTCCACGAAAAAAGTCGGTATTTAAGTTTGTTTTGTCAGGTATAGCTTTGTAATAGGTTGTTATTTTTGTTTGTGTTGTTTTTACGGGTAGTTTGTATATTATGTTAGTTTGTTTTATAAAAGTATTGTCTTGGCGAATTCTATTTTGTTTATTTACACATTTATTTAGAAACTGGCTATGGTATTTCTTATAGTCGATTTTCGTATTTAATCTAAAACACAAATAATTCAGATAATCCCGTTGATTAATTTTTCTAGCGTTATTGTAATGTTGGTGTGCCAAGTTTAGAGTTTTTATGAATTTACAATTGTTATAGTTCTGTATAATTAGTTCCAAATTATAATTGATTGCATTTTCGTTCAAGTACGGATTGAATTGCACATTAGTGATGAACACAGTATGGTTTCGCAGCTTATAAAGTACGTTACATATTTCAGTCAAAAATAAATAAGGGTTTCTGTCGTTCGAGCCTAAGATTAACACTATAATATCATCTGGCGTCAGTACCTTTACGAAGTCGTCATTGCAGCTTTTGAGTACTTGTTCACTCGTAGCCGCTGGTTTGATGAAAGACCTTACGTTATAGACATCATTCCATTTGTTGGATCTGCTGTCAGTCAAAGTTTTATTAAGACCGTAGGCTTGTTGGTCTCCAAAAATGTATATGTTACGCTGACTATCAATATTTCGTGGTACATTTTTCTCTTTATTGCTAAGAAGTGATTTGTTGTTAAATGTAGTTTGTTTTTGCAACGTATCAGTAGCGACATCTATCGGTTGACTTGTACTAGGTTCTTCATAGTCGTTACTTTTGTAGTTGGTGTGTATAGTGTCATCCAATAACGTACGTGATATGATAAAGGTTTTGTACCTAGAAGGAAAATTGTCGAAAAAATATATTGCAAATCAAAGTTTCCATAAAATATGTGTATATATCAAATATGTATACTGCATAGGTAGTATATATTTCAGAATGTAACCTGAGGACGAGTATTATTTATTTATTTATATATGCTTTATTGTACACATTTATGTAGTTTAAAACAAACAATTAAAAAAAAAATTCTTTAAACCCAATTCAAGTAAATATGCGTACAATGGGCGGTCTTATCACACAATGGTGATTATTGATTAATCGAGTATTATTTTTTAAGAACAAAAAAGGAATTGGGCATCATTGATTACTGAGTAAGCGATCGTCTGTCCCATGCGGGGGTACTTATCGATTCAGACAGGAGCTAACAGACAGCTTATAACAAACTCGACTCTAGGATTACTTCCGATACAGTTTTTTATTTTTTATCATTGTATCACACCAGTTTTACCCTGTAAGCATTGACAATACCGTATCTAAAATGTGCCTGCTAATAATTTATCTTTTATAACTTAATTGGCTTACTTTTATAACTAAAAATAATAAACAAAACATTTTTATAATTTTTATGGCTTTACACCATACATAAAACTTTTTGAAAAAAGTTGCCAATGTTGCAAACTCCTGCTCAACCGTCACGTTTTGTAAACAATAGGCCAAAGTATACAAAAGATGGAAAATATACAAAGATTTTTTTATATAAAAAGTCAGACCTGAAATTGTAGGTATTCTATTGTTCTTTCATTTGCGCAGTATACAACTTTTTCTTAGGCTAAGTTGAAGGATTGTAAGGCCTCGCATACAGTGGTGAGCGGTGCGCCGCTACGAACGACGCGGCTAGCAGAACCAGAATTAGTTTATTCGTATCGTATTATCGTATTTTGTATTCTAAGGATTTGAAAAAGTAATGTATCAACGGTTATTGTTTCTGACTAATGATGCATGTGATAATTTTCTTCAGAACAGGGTTTATAGACAACTTTATGTAAAATAATATAAAAAGAAATTCCCCCCTGTGGCAGAGGTGACCTTTAGGTGAGGTGTCATCGACTTTCCGCAAGTCAGAATTTCGAAACGGTTATCTCCAATAGGTGTCTGGACTTTGAACTCTGCTTTGGACCTCATGTTAGATAATGGAATAACTGATTATAAATTAATTTAATGTAATATAATCATTATATGAACAAACATAGATTAAGACATGTTTTAAAATCCGCATCATTTGCAAGTTTCATGGTAGCAAATGTATGTAGCGTTTCAAGAAACGTCTAAAGTTGACCAGTTTCTGTTTAATTTGGAAATCAACAGCACAAACAAATTATAGGACACACATTCACACATACATAAAATCAGGGTTGATAATATTCAAGAATGGCAGAACGTAATGTACGAAGTATTACATTATGCGTTAGCTGTATTATATTAAAGTCATAAGCCTATAGACATCACAGCCAAACACCAGGCAACTATTTCCAAAATTTCACTCTAACTACAAATTCCGAACAAAAAAAACACCTAATACTACAAAGATTACCCAAAGTTATATAAACTTAAACGTTATAACTTCTTTTAAACTGTCAAACACCGCGAGGACACCGGTGACCGCAACCTATTGTTCTTTAATTGTGTCTATAATGACGGTACTCGACGAGTTCTTATACCATCTAATATTTTTTAAGATAAGTACAGAAATAAATCCTCAGACACAAATTAATTGCAGTTACATTTAAAACAATTTCAAGATGTTCACAACGCGGTAGCAACGGAACTAAAGTTATTTCTGCAAAAGTTTTAACCAGACAACTACCTGTTCAGATCTGTATTATTTATATTAATAATAAAGTTTCATTGTTCTACTGTTGCTTATAACTTTATTGTTATGCATAGTTGTACGTATAGTAAGAATAGTAGAAAACAATTACTCAATGTTTACAAGTTTATCTGCATGCTTGTTCAATAGCATTATTTTACTTTTTCGTCCCTAAACGATTACCTATTAATATTTTTCACGGCAACAACTAACAACTACGCAAATATAACTTCTAACTATAACAGTTACGCGCCACGATGCACGTAGCAACAGAACTCCGTCAACTTCTAAACTCGGGACAAATGATTGAAATTTTGTGAGACAATAAGGTAATGTCATATATTTTTACAAAAGAATTTTTGTTCGTCAATTTTTAAATTTAGTTATGGTGAAATGTGCACACGAACTCTACATGAGATAATGTTTAGTGGCGCGAGGGCGTGTGGAGGCGGGGTGGTCGCGCCGCCGATCGATGTCCGTTACTCCCTGTGAAGCGTAGCGTTGCACCCACTGCACTCATCATCATCACCTACCTTGATGAAAAATCATTTCATCATACCCCAAAATTTAATATAAAAGTTCCTCTTCTTGTCTTTTAATAGCTGGTTACGAAAACTGCAAATAAATATTGTGCTACGGTGATGCTACGCCGCCGCTACGCTGCTACGCGGTTTGAAGTTTTAAAGTTTATTTTGGTTGTTGGATTTCTGCGTAAGATTTTATGATTCTCTTTGAATAAATTGATTATTTTACACGTAATTTGACATTTAATTATGGTTTTGAATATTTTTTAAAACTTTTAAAAAGTTTTTAATTACAAATTTTATTATCTACATTTCATATGTTTTAACTACTAAAATGGTTTTACTAAGTCAACCAGATATTATAATATTTAAATTTGTTGTTAATAATTGATAGTTAATTTTCTAACTAACGTTACCGCATCCCTAAAGCCTAATAAAGTTCGTACATACATATGAATGCTAAGTATCACGCTCACGCTAAGTATTTCAAGCGTTATATAAAGTCGTAATGGCCTGAAAACCGTTCATGTGTGGGGGAAGTAGAATAGTGACGGGAGATTTGCAGAGGCTAACTAACTATCGAGCGGCAAGCGGCGAGCGCGCGAACCACGTGACTTATCGATCAGCGCGGCGCCCACGACACTCGGAAAAATCAACCGCTGACAGCTTTCATAGGCCACCTCCACCTCTCCACTCACCCCGCGCCGCGCCACCGACACCCCCCCCCCACTCCCCGCCCTCATTAGCGCCTTTGTGACGCTCACTTGTCTCGTAATATGACGCCGTAATGATACCACTTACGACTCGATTATTCGTTAACATTCCTACTAGTTGACTGCCTAAATCAGAGATGACCTTCTTGTTTTACCCTTTTAATTTTGCTGATTTTTATCGCTTAAATATATTCATACAGACACAACAAATAATACACGTACCTTCATAATAATACCCAAAGAAACGTCTGAATAAAGTCTCGCCAAACATATTCCCCGCCACATATTACCCCGTTCGTATAATATTTATTAACGGCACGTCGCATTTACCTAATTTGTAACGTCTGAGTAGAAATGACAACAAACTTTTGTTTTCAATGAGCAGTCATTTCAGAATTTGCACAACAAACTTTCCCTGACTGAATTCTATAGTGTGTTGCTTGAATTTAAACTCTATTTGCAATGCTTACGATTGATAATGTATGCATAGTACCGCTGAAGAGTGAACGTTAGTAGCGAATGAGGATGTCAACTGTCCTCTGACACTGACCTACATAATTTTAACTAGTCTTTTTGTATGTCGATGACCTATTCCACAGTAATTCAATAAACAGTAGACTTAGTATGTTCAGTATAACTTATTTAAATGTTTCAAATATTGCTCGTGTCTTTGAAACTTTTGCATATAGATATAATATCTCATTGACTGTTTCTATTTTTATACGGACAATGATAATGTTTGTTTTGCATCATAAAGCCTTCAAACGGTATCGAGGTATGAGATAAGTAGTCATCTATTTCATGTAATATTAACATTCATATTTCCATAGTTCATTGTAACAAAATATTTACATACCGCTCAGAACGGACTGGATAATAGATATGTATCAGTCGCTTGACGTTCTTGAGCATGTTGTAAAGATCAGCGGAGGGGATTAGGGCATTTAATTGTGTTCGTTGTTCGTGAGTCAACTACCTCACATACTTATGTTGTATTCTATTCAAATTCAATTGTAAATTTCTATGCATTACTTGAAGTGGCCTCGACACAATACAACAAAACATCTTTTAATAGTATCGCTTACAACTTACAAGGAAAAAGACCAACAAAATAAACATTGTATTGAAACTTACATTGATATAAACGTAAGATTACTATTTAGTACTTTGTAACGGTCACAAAAACTTCTAAGACTTTTTAAACGGTTCTAGTTACCTACATTAACTTGTTCACAATTAAGTTTCCGGGAGATTGTAAAAGAAACATTTTCCTTGCGAATCAAAGGACATTAAAGTCACGTCGTGCCTCTAAACACTTTAATAATAGTTTTTCTTAAAAAATAAGCTATAAATTTGGTATGGTGTCGTCTAATATTTATGTTTTTATTGGTATGCTTACGTTATAGATTAGAGGGATAACTATGAAGTATGAATTAAGTAAATATTAAAAAATAAATTGTAAATAAGGACTCATACTTTGAATGTTTCATATGATACAGATTTATATTAATGATGAAAAAAAAAATCCATTTTATAAGCGAACATAAAAGAACCTTCTAAATGAATGATTAGAATCGTAATAAATGCCCACTCTTTCTGGTTGAAGAGAAATGTTCAGTAAAGGACTGTGATAATAAAATGTAATATGAAAGTAATATGTAATGTAGTATACTGACCGTGGGTGGGAGAGGCAGGTGTTGAGCGGGGGTGTGCGCGCGCTGTTCCCGCCGCGCCAGCGAGCGTCGCACGCGCGCCTCCTTCGACGCGTACCCGCCGTAATCTAAACATGCATTGTTTATCATTATCTCTCCAACGCCATCATAATAGCATGCGTCAGTATTGATCAACACCATTATTCGAAACCACTGACAAATTCCTTTCATCCCTGCATAGCACAAAGGCCAACAGGTTGTATTGCATTTTCAGAACTTCATACCATAAGCCGAACTACTCACACACACATTTACAGTTACATTTTTTGAACCACATTCTCGAGTGCACAAAACAATTTAGAGGATAGTCAGCAATGAGGAAATCGAGAGCACTGTTTCTGATCATAACTTATGGACGTACACTTAGTTTATGTTCTCTACTAACTTTGCTGAAGTAGCACTCACGCTACCTACGTCATTGTAGGTGCCATTCCATTTAAAAATCGATCATAGGTGTTTTATGTTCGTAGCGATGCAGCAATAGCAATCGAAACCGTGACCCTGAATGTTGGAGACGGATATTTTGCCGCTACGACATTTTGCTCATTTGCTGACGTGCTGAATCCTACATAATAATTTAAATGATGTAGCAATTTGCTTACTTTCCGTATGTTTGTCCTTAACATACTTAAAATATGCAACTAAAGCGTTGTATAACACGTATCTATTATAAATATCACTGTATAAAATCATGTAACAATGTAACTATTCAATGTAAGTAGAAAAGTTGTGTTCTTTGTATACATTCATAAAACCCTGTGGCGTTCCGTTGCTAAGCAAAGACGCCGATTGTTTATGATCATGTTCATGTCAGTCTCATTATGAATGTAACTGAATGTTGTAAAGCCACCCCAGTTCAACAGGGACGAATAATTACGATACATAATTTAATCTCATAGAATTACTGTAAGTAGAATTAAATCAAGTGTCCAGTACAATAAGAAACAATAGTCATCTTTTGTAAATTACCCCAAACTTCTAAAAGTAGACCCTCAAACCTGAATAAGAAAATGTATTTACATCGTATAGCAAAGATTCCCATAAAATATTCTCAAGAGGGAAGTAAAGAGAACTAGGCCATTAAATTACCTACTACGGTTTATGACTATAAAACAGTTAAATGAAAATTGAGATGAATTTTCACCTAAATTAATTGGTGGATAAGGGATTGATTAATCGTAATGGGATTATAAACATCATAATGTACAACATATTTGTTCATATATCCCCGTAAGTAATATCGTCATGATACTAATAGTATGTCAATGACACTTGCTTTACTTAGTTGGTCTGTAATGACTGAAAGTTATTTCATGTTAACGATATCATTAACATGATTGATAGTTACCATAAATACCAAAATAGAGCAATTATTCTACTCAATATAGAAACAAATAAAACGTAATCATCAACCAAAGTTTATTTGATCAATTTACCAAACAATATTGAAAATAATCTTGCATAAATAAATACACATCCCATTAATGCAAATGATCTCTGTAACGCAATGAAAGCTGTCAAATTGGCAAATGAATTTGAAGAAAATAAAATACAAATTGTTTGTTGTCCAGTTAAATTGTGCAAAGAATTCCATCTGCATATTCATTAATCGCTGACCTGACGATGACGACTTTTTTAATGATGAATGTATAAACTGGAATTCGTAAACAACACAATATCTGCTTGCATTGTACGTTTCTAAGTAAACTGTGTGCATGTTCTATCAAAACGGATGAGCGCTCAGCATGGTCGCGTCAGTGCGAAAGTCGTTTCATGTTTTACGTAGCATTTATAAGGAGTTGAGCGTGGATAGCGGCACGGGTGTTAGTACCCCGGTCAATATGTAGAGTGGCTGTGCTGTGCAGGCGATCAATCGCGTTGCGGCGTGGGGGCGGGCGCCGCTGCCGGGCGGGAGCGGCGGAGGCGAGCGACCACCTGTAGCGCGCCCCGCGCACCCCGCGCGCCCCCGCCACCTCTGACATCGACACGTGACGTAGACACCGAGAAATCCGCCCAAACGTAAACATTAATTCTTACTTCATTCTTCATTGTTCAGAATGTCGCTTCGCGCCACGCGCGCGGATTCCGATCTCTCTCGTATTGGTAAACAAATTCAGGTCGACGCACACTCTGCGTACTTGTCAGGCATGTTATTATGCTTACTAACTCCGCTAGTGTATGTAATATACGTGAAATAGTTCAATACTTGTAATTCAATTACGTTCAAGGAATTAGTTACTTATATTTCACTGCAGAATATGTACATAGGTATACTGACTACAACGATTTAATTTCAGGATATTGATAGCGTGAACGAATCTTACTTATTTCGAGAAACTTTTTAAGTTAAACCGGTTTTTGGCTATGGCTTTGAATTAAAATACAGATTTTATAGCATTTTGTAGTCATTCATTCGTACTTTTAGTAAACTTTTTTAATTTAGCATTGTTTTACTGAAAACTGTCACCGAATTTTTTTATTGTTTTATTTAATGGGGAACACGTCATACACTAATATTTTATTTACGTATTATAAGGTGATACGTGATGTTGTATTCTAATTTCAACAAAACAATAATAATTGGTATAGAAATTAATTGAAGCTGAGTAAAGTTGTACCGAATGTCACTTATCTGATGTACTCAGTAGAATTCTTTTTTGAAATCTCTATCTATTATCTAGTACGAAGGTTAGTTTTAACTACACATCAGTGCAGGTTAAGAAACTATATTTTTCATTAATTTATAATACAAATTCAAATGTTTATTTGCGTTAAACTATGGGGTAATGATATTAAAGTTTATTATATTGTATCTCTTTTAAAAGTCGAGCAAACATTAATAATGAATATTGCAATAATCTTGCTGTACCCCATTACGTAATTAATGTATAATTACCGTAATGCACCTACTTTCATTAGTTAAACTGTGTGCATTTAAATTAATAAGTGTTTACTACCTTCTAAATAGCTGAAACAGAGATATACCAACCCATAGGCATGACATGTTCATGGTGCATGTGATGACTGGGATAATCATAGCGATAGTATCGCGCGTAGGGGTCGTGCGCGTGCGGCGCGTAGTAGGCGTGCGCGTAGGGCGCGTAAGGCAGCGGTGCGTAGCCGCCGTAGCCGTCCCAGGCGGGCGCGTACTGGCCCGGCCCGCGGTACTCCCCGTAGTTGCAGCAGTCCATGGTGCAGGCCCTACGCGCCCGCCGGCGCACACGCAGGCCGCGACCGACATCCTCGCCAAGCCGCGCACCGCCACATCACCGCACTCTTGCGCTCTAGCAACCCTACCACTATTCAACTAAACTTGCCAAGTCCATGACTAAACCCACTCTCCCAAAAAATAAATTAAATATTACGTTAAACCTACGACCGCTTATTTCCAAACTATGAAACAAAGTTTCTTTAAAATATTTCTGCTAAACTCTGAAAAATATTTCAGAGTGTGATGAGTACGCGAAGAGATCGAGCGCAGTTTCGCGGCGGGAATCGGACGCGGGTGCGACGTTAGTTAGCGAAAAGAGGTCGTTCGAGTTTGCCGGCGACGACGAGAGATTCGACGGACGAGGGCGGTTGCGGGGCGCGGGCCGCGAGGAGGGGCGACGCCCGCTCGCCGGCGGCTCGGCGCAGCGCGGCGCTCGACGGACGCCGACTGAAGGCGCCGCGGAATCGATACGCCGCCGCCGCCCGCGGCCGCCCGCCGCGTGCCCTCGCCGCCCGCACTACCTGCCTGCGCCCGTATTGCGCGCGAACTTTGTCTTCCCCGACGGAATTTTATATTTAGAACCATGGTGAAACGATTGATCGATACTTTGCACTATTAATTAGTACCTACACACTTTCACTACATATTCCAGAAGGAAAACCTGATCACTTTCCTGCTACTTTTTAAACACTTTACGCAAGTTTCAGTACCGGAAGTCTTCCTTAACAATTTTGGTTATAGTTATTGATGTTTGAAAGAAACATGCTGATTCATTCAATTCGCGGATCTAAAATGTTTTGAATTTGCGAGCGAAAAGTTTAGTTTACTTAGTTTTTATTATGAGTAGTGCGAGAGTTGCGCTCTGTTTGTAGTCAGGAGGTGGATACTTGCAAAGTTTTATCGAATTGCGCGTAGGCGGCAGTGACCCACATCGGCGACAATCATGTGGCGCATCACCCGCGCCCTTCGTCCTTCGCCTGCCACTGCCTCTGCCGGCACCACTCACAACTTTCAATAAAATTGGTGTTATTGATATACTTACTTTACTAAACATTTCAACAATGTCTCTTTTAACCCATACCTTACGGATACTTTGGATCAATGTGAAGCAATTTCTATAATTATATGTGTATTTTAAAGAAAAAAGTGTTTGACGTGTTGAAATTTCGGTGATTTGAGGTAGCTCTTCAATAAAATTATAGATATACTTAGTGTGAAACTGACAAACAACGCAACCGTAAAGTAACAACTCTGCATGAGTTTTACAAGTTACCATGGGAAAACTTTAAGTACCTACTTTTAATTCGAAACGATCTTCGCGATGAAGATGACTGAACTCATGAATTTTTAAACGAAGAAAGTTACAAAAGTATGCTGAGATGTTACCGACACCGTTTGCGCTAGTAGGTAGTGCTCTACGCTACCTCTTCACTACAGCTGCCGTAAACATAGAATCATTAATACTTTACGACCATAAAAACATTATGCAGTACATTTCAATACAGATTTGTAGATACCTGCCTATTTAATACAATAATATTTCAAAGCCTACATACTTAAAGAGTGCGGAAATCAATATCAGGTTTCGTAAAGTATGAGTTCCTACGTAGGCACAAATTGATTTTTGTTACAATAATTGCAAGCTATACGTTACCCTTGCCTAACTGTAACGATACAACTTGCCATATCGTGTTCGTAATCCCAAAGAAACCAATAACTGGCAACAGACAAACTGCTATCCAGAGAAACTACCAAAAATCGTTTGAATCGACATGTTTGAGTTCTGCGCAACTCCACATTGAAAAAAGCGTGATAGTACGTAGGCCGGTCGTCTGTGTGATAGATCCTTCTGAAGCTATGTATACAGAGTACCTATGTATCACGTTACTTACTGTAGTGAGTTCACTCCGTGTACCAACTACGCCGGCGCGAACATTCAAAATTCCGGCAAGATCTTTACGCAACTGTTTACAGTTTTGAAATTGTTCAAATACGAGTATTTAGCCAGATATATTATTCAAAGTGTATTAATTTTGAACTTAGATATTTGTATATATTTTATTACTATTATACTTGTTAATTAAAACGTTTTTCGGGTCATCTAAATAGCAGTCGTAGCAGTTTCGTAGCATAAACTGTCTTTCATTTTTTATTCAGAAATGATTGTACATGATTAATCAACTATTTTGGATTATTATTACGAATAAGAATATAGAAATACTTTTTTGCCTCTTAAGATTGCAAATCTGTATTTGTTTACATTTGAATAATTAATAAACATGTCCAGACCATCAAAATAAATAAATCAAATTTTAAAGTTGCGAATTATCTTGAGTTTTATTTGTATTTCAGTTTTGTAAAAGACTTCGTTCCTACTAACGTCACGTGTTAGCCCAAGTTCAAGCAGACTTCGCGCAGTTGGTAACAATATTGGGGAGCAAAAGTAACAACAGTACAAGTGCTTCGCCGTGATAACGTATCAGTCAGCAATGTCGTCTATAAATGTGTCTCGGTAATTGTGTTCTAATGTATGTTGTGTAGTAACTGTAGAGAAGCCAGGCGCGGGTTATCATGCAGATTGCGGCGAATCAATAGGGGCGCCTCGGCCACTGACGGCGGATGACGATCAATAGCGTCCCAGTGGAGCTGTCTCCGCATTAAGGGGCTTCCTCGAACGCCCTTACACCTACCCACAGTCTACCTACACTTCGTACATAACTTAGTGTTACAATACGACCAATGTGCCGACTGTTTGTGTCGAACGCGTGTCAATATTATACATTTCGACGAACATTTTATATTTTACTAAGTAGTTACGCACGTGCGTTGACTGTTCTCTCTGAAATCTGGACGCCAGCTTATTATCTACCTGGGTGTCTAGTTCCCTAGGTTGATTATTAGGTATGTCAGTTCCATGCTTTGATGGAGTTCTTTAGTTCGTAATAGTGGTAATTAGGTAGGTATTTTTAAAATTGGGTATTCATTAATGTGTCCTAAAAACCAAAAAATCAAATGAATACTGAAACGAAAATATCTTTCAAATATAAATTAACTGATTATTGAGCGTAATTAGCGTTTAAATATGGCTTATGTAACATTGAAATGCAATAGTTGCATTCTTTCTGTGTAACTACCGATATGTGCGTACATTGTATGGTCTAAAATCAATAGCTATAGTATCCTTAGATTCCACGATAGTGAATGGCAAATGGAATGAAAATATTGAGTGTGAATAGAATCTCATTCCGAGCTGTAACAAACAGCTATGGGAAATGGGTTGTTGCGATGAGCTAGCGATCTGTCAATACCTATGTATGTACTTGCTACATAGTTAAAGGTATGCGCACATCACGTGTAGCGCACCATCGACGACTTTATTCACTTACGGGGATCATCATTGATACTGTAGGTATGTTCTTTCGAGGGCCGAATTTTACGTAGACAAGACAGACAAGGAATTAAGTTTAACTTTCGTAGGTACTGTCGTAGACAGGGTGAGCAGGATCCCTTGCTAACATGTAGCATACTACAAACTGTAACTTGCGCAATCTTTCAAATACAATCAGAAAATGTGAGAGAAATTAATCGTGCAGATTCATATACCGCAACCGCAATGCGAACTGTAAGGGCAGCATAATTTGCACTCATCTTTTTGTAGAAATGTATAGGTACGTAAGTATAAGTAGGTACCTGTATTATTAAATAAGAAGTATTTTTTTTCTTCTATGGCAAAAACAAGAAGTTGATATATTTAAAATAAATGACTGGACTTATTGACAAGATAAAAATGATATGTACCAACATACATAGGTGTTTCTAAAGAAGGGTTGTAAAAACTTAATATGTAGGTCCTTTTTTAATTTCTTATGTAATAATTTATTAGGTTCAAGTATGTACCTACCTAAGTAGTACTTTCATATTAGGTAGGTATAGTTATGCATAATTGATTATCCAATATTTTAGTCCATTTGTTATAATACACCTAACGTAGATGCATTGGATAAATTGTGACGATGTTAACAGTCCATTGGCTAAATAGCTTGGTAGCTAACGAACTTACGCGCCAACCCAGCCTCTTAGGGGTGTAGACAGAGAATCGAGCGGTTGTTTCCCATGCCGGAGCTTGTATCTACATTTACTTATATGTAGGTAGTCTGTAGGTACCTGCATCAAGAATTATGAACATTTATATCTAATTATCTACGTAGGTTCCATTCTGAATCTACACAAAACTGATACCTAAATCAGATTTTGATAAAGTTACCTAAGTTTTCCTATTTGATCAATTAGATAAATTGGCACTTATAAACTGTTAAAGACTTAAAGAGTAGGTATTAAAGACCGCAGAGAGAGACAAAACAAACCACTTTCCTATTTAAAAAATCCTACAAACATCTTAAATCAATAAATGAGTGTTGTTATACTTACAGCTTATCTTTTACCCTTGCCCATTGTCAATCTAGACGCCATAGGCTATACACCGGCCTACGTATCGCTACAACCGCTCTTTACCCTGCTACTTTGTGCATCCCTCCTTTCTCAGCGTGCCAACTCGGCGACTATTTGACGGCACCCTTTATAAGCTATGGATATAGAGATAATAAAATTTAAATAGCGTAAGCTGAGACGGGAACATAGTCCTTGTTTTTTTTTGAGAAGTGTTTTTTTTAGGTTTGCCTACCTAATAAATTAAGGTCTCATTTTATTAATCGACTTTTCAATAAGTAGACGTCAGATGGGTACATCATTCTCAGATTTATTTTTGTCATATTTTGTTGTTATAGTAGATTACGTATTGTATTTGGGTAGGATGGGGAAGTGTCTAAAGAAATAATAAAAATAATTATGAAGCATAATTTTTATTTATAACATAATTTAAAATCATGTAAATCGTGTAAAATTCTGAATAAAATATTCAACAATATTATATTAACGCAAATATAATATTTTATTTAACCTAACTATAAATTTAACTATAGCTATTTAGATTCGGTAACCTAATCTATAGGTAATGTGTTTCACAAAATAACAATTTTCACTAATGGCATTCGCTGGAGTAATTCAAATTAACAATTCGTACTATAAAAATATTTGAGATAACAGTAGGTAGAAATAAAGACTCGTCTTATTACTACTAATATTAAAACTATGAAATAATAATGAAAACGACAGAGAATTACAGGTAACTTAAATTCCAAGTAACATTCTACTAATTCAATAACTTATTTAAAGAAACATTTTGGCACAATACCAAAAAGAAAATTTCAAATAGATAATAACTTATTTCTTATATTTATTGTAAACTTAATAATAGACATTCCACATAAAGTGGCTGTATTCGAAAGTAATAACTTAATTAAACATTTATCAACAATAAAAGACAACTTAAATATAGTAGTATATATTTGCATTTCTTGTAACAACTTAATTTTGTTTGGCATTGTGGACCATATAGTGTAATAATGATATTCGTAATAAGATCCAACCAATTTAAGCACCTATTAGTAATTGTACGGGCTCGGAGGGATCAGGCTGTGGATCAGTCCTCGACGAGCCAGTGGACTGTATAAATGTTTGTTGTTGTTCACAGTAATTGTAACAGTAACCTTTTTTAAATACATATAACAATAAGATCTCTGGCAATTCCAACAGATTTCAAACTTGTACAATCTGAGAAATTCCTTCAACACTCACATATTTGTAAATCCGCATCAAAAATGTTTTACTCTATAATACACATACTCGAACATTCGTTTACTCGCCGCCTCTGTTGACCGATGTGAGAAAATTGCCTTACAATTTTATCTATGATTCTTCTTGTAATACAGTATCCTTAAACTAAATACAGCCAATTATATCTATAATATCACTTCCTACAGTGAATTCAACAAGTGTCTGCCAACCGCATACAACACTTGAATTTGTATATGTATGCACCTTAATTACGCACTTTAGTTATAACCACATATTCCTATGGTTTAGAAATGATACTTAATTTTTGCAACATTTCATGAAAGCACAGATACACTGGATATTTTTAAACTCCAAAATACTGAACTGGGTCATTCTCATTAATAATGGACAAAATCGTCCTTTAAAGTATTATAAAAATTTTATATCTTTTCAAGCAAAAGCTATCAGTCTCTTCCACTGCTTCATTTGACCTAAAATATATTAAGCAAGGCATTGGTTGTCGTTCAACAAGGCACATTAGCTTACCACCTCATACATTCACTGTCCTAACACAATTGACAAAGAACCTAAGGCACATGTTTGCAGGATAATAAATGAAAATTAATTCCTTTGACCATGACTTGTCCACATATGTTCTTTGAATGTCTCACGCATTGTGAATGACCTTGGACAGAGGTAGCAACATAGTCTATTGGTCAAGTCAGAGTGCATTAATCTGACATGATATTTTAAGGCTGACTGGTTGGAATACTTCATGCCACAGTGAGGGCAGTCACCACATATAGCAGCATGGTTTGATTGCTGGTGCGCGAGTCCTTGCGATGTGGAAGCGCCGCCACCCAGTACAGGCACTGTGGACATTCCAGCTAGCATGAGTAGAGCTTGAGATTGATCTTGCGTGAAGTTGCTATCCGAGTCTGTACCATCTTGATGTTCTGACAATAATACTTCTGGTTCATATTCCACATCAGATTTTGGTGACTGTTTTTCTGGTTTCAAATGTAATTCTTCAGTAATCATAGACTTCACAGGACTTTTAGATGGGGCATTGGTGAATGTCACAGTATCTGAATTAAGAATATCTTTTGACCGACTTGAACAATGCACATCTACCATTACATTTGACACTTTCTTTAGACTTGAGTTATTGGCACAGGCTTCACTTTTCGATGGATTTATTCCTGTAATTAAAAAAACACATACATTTAACTTTTAGTCACACAATACTTGATCTAAATTTTATTAAATAGATCAGCAACATATATATACAATACACATAAGGATTTTTTTTGTGCAGAAACGAACTACAGAAATTGTATTTCTTGTTCAATTGGATTAGAATGAAGGAACAGAATGTGAGGGAAGTCACTTAAAATTTCTATTTAAATGAAGATTATTTAATGTCCATGTAAATGTCTTCAACATACCTGAGAGCAGGGATCTGGCAAGCATACTGTTTTCATAATCGGGAAGACTTTCATCATTTTCAGAGTTGGCATTTATTGAGAGTGTGGGTGAGTTGTTGTCATCTGTCCTTTCTGTCTTTATTGTTACCGGAATGTTGTCTCCTTGAGCCATCTGCAAGTTTTACAATAATATGTTAAATAAATCAGATTTTTTACTAAACCTTTTATTTAAACATTTATAATAAGCTGGACTGCAGATCTGTGTGAAACACAATAGGTTTTCTATTGTGTCGGGAAGTAAAAACACAGACTGACTGCACTGTTGGCGTGGTGGCTGGGCAACCGGCTACCACGCAACATGTAGCAGGTTCGATTCCCGCATGTAGTAATTGTGTGTGATTCACAAATTGATGTTTCGGGTCTGGGTGTCATGTGTATTGTTGTATGTTAGTAAATGCACCCATGATTACAGGAGAAAATCCTAGTGAGGACAAAGTTTTTTTTTAAATATAGAAAATACAGAAGAACTGTTAATTTATTATTGTTTATTCAAATTATAATGTAAATATAAATATAATGATACCTGAGATGATGAACTTTTTCCATTTGCGGTTATTATTGGTGCATCAATTTTTCCATCACATTTCTTGTCTATATTATTTTCGGGGAAGAACACTGGGTTGTCGATTTTAGTAGCATGTGCGAGGTTACTCCTACTATAAATATCAAAGGTTTCTATAACTTTATTCTTTTTGGGGCCATCTCCTATGGTAACGTCAGTAGGTTTATCTGAAGTACTACTTCGTCTTTTCTTCAAAGCTGGCAGTTTTGTTTCCTTGTGAGCAGCACCAAATAATGGCTTTGACGATATAGTTAGTTGTGTGTATAACTTATTTGATGTGTTCGGAGACGAAAAGTTTTCCTTCTGTAATGAAATATTGCATATTTTTAATGAGTACTCAAAGAACTTATATAATGAGAGAAGAGTAGAATGTAAAGAATGTTGTAACACCAATAAATAAGAAAAAAAAACTACAAATAAATTATTTCCTTATTTTAAACATACTCATAATACTTCAGCTAGAGTCAGAATAGTAGAACATTCTGAGGATGTCTATGTTTTATACCAACACTGAATCAACTGATGATAGAAATTATGTCCATAAATGTTTATTTACCTGTTGTGTTACACCAGTTAAGCCTTTTACTTGTAAAAGCGCTGCTGTGTGCAGGAAAGAAGATAGTTTACTCTCTTCTATGAACACTTCTCCTTGGTACATATAGGACAATAGACTGACAATGTCATCAGCAGACACATCTTTCAGTATGATCACTGGATGCTGGCATGGATTTTCCTGAAATAATAATACATACCCAATTTTATTTACTTGAGAGATTGCATAAGTTTCAACATAATATTCTATGAGTAAGAATTGTCATCTAATAGTGTTCAATAAAAACTTAAAGAAGTATAATACTGCAGACAGAAAATAAACCATATTTTAATTCATCATCTAGAAAATAACAGGGTCAAACAGAATGGAAAATTAAAAGTAGCTATGTATACATGTTATATGTTCATTGATATAAATATGAAGGTTATTAATGTCCTAAGTCATTCACCTTGAACACATTCCTGAAGTACGGGCTGCACGCTGACAATATGACTTTGTGGGCCTTGATATTTCTGCCTTCACAGGTGAGTGTAACGTCGACCAAATCTTCTGAACACTTCAATGAATCCAAGGCACTCACTATGTTTGACTGGAAGTTGTTCCAACGTAAACAAAATTGATCAGCCATCCCTATGGTTTCTGTAGAATATTCTGCAAAACAAAAATAATTATGCTGACTTCTAGTTTTGACAAATGACAGTGTATGAAACCGTTGAAACCATACGTTAAACGTAAATTTATACAAACCTGGAGTAAAACGCTCATGACACTAACAGATAACATTAGTTTTAATTAATTTTTGCTGTTTTATGATTCAATAACTTGTAAAATGCATAAAAAATGCAAGGCATGACCTCCATACGCTTGACACTGTCTTTTTCTTTCACTTTCTTGCAAAACGTTTTGTCTATGAATTAATACCATAGAGAATTGAGATATAAAGAACTATTGGCTTTCGCCATCGACTTCGTTTTTGTTGAATCTTTTCGGATTTCGAGTGTAAACTACAAAAAAACTCCTTTTGTATTTATAGGCTGTAAGTAAAGGAAATATGTAGTAAATAGGTGGAAATCGAGTTAAAATAACCCCATGTTTATGTCTTAACAATTTTTGCACTCTATGTTAGTGTAGTGGTTTGTTTGTTCCTTTGTACCGGGATTAAAAGTACTGAAGTCTCAGCACTCGGCAGAAATATCGGATCAGTGAGGGAGTGAGGTCTGGTTTTAGTATTCTGCCTGCCATGGCCCCGGCTACCTTCTTATCCAAGCCGGAAGCAGTCATCTCAAAAAGACTTTACGATGTGCGAGCGCATTTGTGACATATCTGACATCATTTAGATCTCATCTCTTTTAAAATAGTACATGCACCCAACTCACTATCCAACCATACATTTGCATGATAGCTACTCGCATATTAGAAAAAACTTTTTGATTAAAGTCAAAAACTCAACCATGGACTAAGCTCATTGTCATTAATACAACTGTCACGTCAAAGTCAAATCCCGCTGTCAATATGATGAATGTATGTCATAGAAATTTCGAAAAATTTTGTTTGTCTAGCGACGCGGTGCGGTGACTCGTGTGATTGTGTGATTGAAGACAAAACGACAACAGTATCTTTGTTTTCACTCAACTCTTTTGTTTGGTTTAGATCAATAATATCAAGTCTTTCTATTCAGTGACGCGAAAAAATGGCTAACGATCCCGAAAGATTTGATACAATGTTGTTAGCAATGGCTCAACAACACGAAGGAGGCGTTAAAGATGTAAGTATGCTATAGTAATCTTACAAAAAACATCAAACCATTTAAAAAGAATTATATAAAAATACATGCTTTTATCAGTTTTTCCACTGAATTCTCCTCATTTAGAAACGTAGCTGGGTTCTCGATTGTTCTACAAAGTTCTATGCGATTATTGATCACATGTGATTCCACAATCTAGTTTGCTAGGTTACCGAAATTGTATTGAATAACACAACCAAATGTTCAATTTCGATTAGCTTGGCTTTAGCTTGTGCTTGAATAGTCTGCACCATTATGAAAATATAGTTATGATTTTTATTTTATTATTGGTAAAAATTTCAGCATTTATTGGCAATCATTTAAACAGATCTTTACATTTTTGCTTGTATTTACAAGCTATTTTTTACATAAATGTAATTTTAGTCAATTTCTAATTGCCATTAGGATTTTATCTTATGTAGGTAGTATCTTTTCAGTTACTTAACAAACACATATGTTACTGCATGTACTAAAATTAAAAACCCCTAGGTATCTCTTTTAGTAGTAGAAATTTAAGTACGGACTTCTTTAGATTGGTCAAAAAAGGGTAGTTATCTCATTAGAAATGAAATCATTGTTATACCTGTTGTATGGGAATATTAAAGGCTTATGCTGATTACATGAGCTTCAATATACCTAAATGGGAAAAGGCAGGCAGGTGTTACATTTAATTTGCGCACCTCAGACTCAACTTTTCCTTTGGGTATTAAAACTAAACTATTTAGTCTATGGTTATATATTGTGGCTGCTCAGTATCAAAGATGTAGATAATTTTTTGCCAATTGTGCACCCATTACAATATGTTTGACCACTCAATAATTATTTCACCATATAAATGACTTATTTTATGTAGTCATTGGATGATAAGTATCTACACAACTGGCCTGATTAGTTATTGAATTTGCCATATACTTTGTTGTTTATAGTGAGTCAAAAAAATAATTGTACAAGAAGGTGATTTTATATAACCAAAAACTAGGTTCAATACCACTTGGAAATTGATACAAAGTTTCATATTGAATCAAGATATTCATAATAGGTACCTATACTCATAATAATATTATGATACCTAAAACAATATTAAATCCTTTGTATGTCTTTTTCAGTTGCTGAACACAATAGTAGGCTTCCTGGCCAGAAAGACAGACTTCTTCACTGGTGGCAAAGGAGGTGAATGGGAACAGGTAAGCATACTTGCTAGGTATATTTAATGTTGCAATAATGTATATAAAATTAATAACCTTTAACCTTTTGAATGCACCAATATAAGACACAATAGAAAATACATTGTGTCTTGCGTGGATCCGTGGTTTTAGACATATGAAAGGTTAAATCAATTATATTTATTTTACAGGTGGTGAAGGATACATTCTATGTTCATGCTAAGAAAGCAAAGGAAGAGGCTGATAAAATAAAGAAAGAAAAAGAAGAAGCCGATAGAAGATTGAAAGATATCCAGCAAAAGAAAGAACAAGAGCGTATGGCTCAGGACTTTGAACCAGCCTCTGTTACAGAAATAACAGACCAGGAAGCTGTTAAAATACAAGAGGATATTGACAAAGAAAAGAAAACCCGTGAGTAGTTCACTAGCTGATTTATTTTTTATTTATTTTATTCACATGTCTGTATGTTGCTTTGAAATATTTAACAGGCTCTTGTTTTAATGAACTGTTGTGTAGTAATTTATGATTTCTCAATTTCTCATAAGTGTCAAGCCAGCTGCTTATCAAAAAATCATGCTGAATTCCTGTTTTTTTTTATTTCTATAACTTATGACAATGGTGTTTATAAATTCTCATAAATAAGAATGTTGTTCTCTGGTCTGATAAGCCAGAAGCCAGAATGGATGATTCAAGTGTGGTACTTTAGGCATAACTACATCGGGTTGAAATCCTGATTTCTTTTTTATGTATTTTATTTACATGTCTGTGTGTTGCTTTGAAATATTTAACAGGCTCTTGTTTTAATTAACTATTGTATAGTTATTTATGATTTCTCATAACTGTCCGTGACAGTGATAACTTACATGTAGTTTACTAGTACTCTGGGTACTTACTCTTGAAACAAATCTCAATGTCAATGCAATAATTATTCAATGTTAAAACTTTACAACCCCAATCGTAGCTGTTAAAATAGCATTTAGAGTACGGAATATATAGCCAAACTCAATACCATTTAGTTCATTCAATATCCACGCAATACGAATGTAATGGGCGCTAGTGTTGTAACTCAAGAGTACGAAATTTCACAATACCGATGTCGATCGATCGGAATTGAATTCTAGAGTAAGCCCCCTGGTCTGATTAGCCTGAGTGAATGGTTCAAGTTTGGTAGGTACTTTTGCCATAACTACATTGGGTTGAAATCTTGTTTTCATAAAATTAAGAAATATGTCAATAATCCCCAGTCTTGTCAATTTAATTTATTATTGTTTCATGTTCACATAATATTTTAACAGAAACGGAAGTTGGTAGTGGAGATGGCACTCCAGTTGAACCAGAAAAAGCAGCAGAAGCTGAGGAGGAGGATGATCCTAAAGAAAAGAACAAACTTAAGCCTAATGCAGGCAATGGATGTGACCTTGAAAACTACAGATGGACCCAGACTCTAGAAGAAGTTGAGGTAAGCTAAGCCTTCATTATTTGATAGTATTCAGTGAGGGGAACTGTTTCTTTTTGCTCATCAGATGACGAATGTAGTATGAGATCTGTGTGTTCAATAAAAAATAAAGTGTTGAACCTTAAGACATTAAATTTTTAGCAGTTACAGTAATTGAACAAATGGATCTTACACTACATTACCGCTATACGTTAAAGAATGGTAATCTTCATAACGGCGACTGTCTACACCACAGAACATATAAAGGAGGATAGAAAGGCCTTGTGGGCGGTACACGCGTGCCGCGGTTATGAGCAAATGCTCCAAATCTACCAAAATGTCAAAAACCGGCCATCAAACGCAATGTTGTTGTGACAGCGTACGAAACTCCGCAAATAATATTAAATTATGCCGTCTTGGACTATTGTAATGTGTCGGAAAAGAAGACAGGTGTGCAATGTAGCACGAGAAGGGATTTCTTTCCACCAGTGACTTCAAAAACATTAATATACTTGTGATATTTGTAATTATAACATTAATATTATGACGTTTCTAGACAAAAACGACATTATCGCAAGCAGTATACATTGCTTGCAATAGATACGTACCGTTTTGCACTACATAAACGATCGCGCAATGTATTACGTTCACAACGAGAGTCCCGAGTATCAAATCAAAACGTCATTTCCTCGAATCGATATAGAGAAGTGTCAATTTGTAAACAATGTCGATAATTACTATGATACAAAGGATTATTATCAAATTATACACATTATAACTAAAATAATTTTATTTATTACGACTAATTATGAAATAGGTTTTAAGTGAGGCATTTTATTCGTATTTCAGTTTTATATAATTTTTTATGTATTCGTTATGTTTTGTTCAGTAAGTAGACTGATTTTATGATTTAGGAAATTTTGTTTTACATTTCTACCTTGATATCATCTAAGGGACATCTAAATCATTTTTCGTAAGATGGATACTCTTTCATACATGCTTAGGCCCAAATTGTAAATAGTTGAAACTATGAGAAATTCTTAAAAGCCAGCCGAAATTTTAGTCAATAATTTAAAATAGTTGTTGAGGTTTTCTATTCGAGAACAAAGCTATGACAACAAATAAGATGACATTATATCCTGGGAGCGATTGTATTGTACCTTTTTTAAGAATAGCTATGTACACTTGATGACTTTTCTAGTTTTCAGAGCTTTTAGAGCTGACTTAATTTACGTGAGCTAAATATTGTGTTGGCCTGGAGGTTGCGGCGCTGTTTCATACAACTTATACGTACTTTCTAAGTTAATTTGCACACCACTCACATTCAGTAAAGGAAATTATGTAACCGAAACTATATAATAATTCCTATTTATATTAACTATTAAAGAAATACGAACGACGATTATCGGTTGTCATCATACGAATGTCATGATGATATCTAACAGAGACAATAACAGAGTTTTGAGCACAGATTAGATATATCATGATATGGTTACGTTATGATAATTCTCAATATTTCATTATTTTATGATTTTTCATTCCTTAGGGAGAAATTACGCTATTTTTTATATATTTTGAATTAAGTAAAAATCTATTATTTTTGACCCCATGACTTCCCAGACTCCTTTTATTTTTATAAAACTTACAGTTGAAAACAAAACAAAATCGAAATAATACCTTTTCGGGTTTTTATACTTTTTTGATTACTACCAATCAACAATTTACTTATAACTATATTCCATGTCAAATTATTTTAATGTTAATAATGTAATTGATTTTAAAAATCAGTTATGTATTTTTCTATGTATAGTTATTTACATTAACGTAAATACATGTGCACAATATGCCTTATACAAATCCGCATAGTCCGCAATACATGTAAATTAAGAAGCTAGATGCCATTAATTTTATCGATATCAATAATCGACCTTTCGCTCCCCCTACCATATATGAGTTTTTTACGCCTGTATTAGTGTATGTCAAACGAAGTGATTGCGTCAGTGTGACGACCAATAACAAATCTTTTAACCTAGTGCGTGTTGTTTATTTGTGTGCATTTTCCGCGTAGGTATTGGTGTCTTGCTTGTAGTAAAGTTAAAGAGTGGGGGACAAACGGCGACGCGTGTTCTAATACAAATCAGGAACTATTTCCTTTCTAGCCTTCTTTATATGTTCTGTGGTCTACACGAAAAACTTCAAAGACATACCAAGAGATGGCGCTTTGTGTATTGCGCAAGCAAAGTTCTCATGCGAGTTGTTAGCTATAAGAGTTAAGTACTGTCTCATCATTAAATAAGGAGTTTGTTTATAGGGTGCCTTTAGCAAGATCACCCATTATTATACTAAAGCAATTTGAATGGAATATTTTTTGATTGAATTATAGTATCTAAGGAAAAAAAAAACAGATAAGGCGATAGTTATAATTCCAAAACATTAAAAGTACACCAAATACGATTGTTTTTACTAAAAACTTGAAGTAGGTAAGGAGGTAATAAATAATAATAACGCAACTTCGTTATTTTTCGTTTATTATCACAGTTTGTCGATAACAATTGAATTAATTTACTTTAATAAAACCACATTAATAATTTTCATATAATTATTATGCCACTGCCTTATTACAAAATAGTCCTATAACAAACGTTATTATGTATAGGCAATAATAAAGGTGCAGATTTTCATGGTTCTTACGAAAATTTGCAACTTTTTATACATTGAATGAAATTCGAATAAAAGCTGTGTCGATATTGTATGCTAACGATATAAGAACATAATATTAGTGCAGTTCAAATTATTGCGCCTGAATAAGCCGTTACTACACCAAATAATGATTACTTTGGTACTAAAATGAACTTAATTGGCTTTGCAGAAATATCAACAGTAATAAACACCTATTGCTACCCTGAAGTTCGATGTGTAAACAGGTCCCTTTCGCTAATCTAATCGCTTTATAACGCTAAATCTAATATTGACAGTAACTACATTGTAAATTGTGACGAAATTTAGATGTGATGATCATAGATCGATTGGATCTTGTCTAGTTAGCCATTTTTTTTTTGTTATAAAACTTTTGTTCAATTGTAATGTTAAATTACAGAATCATTTATGGTCTGTATCAGTAGAAAACATACAATGTCGACACAACCATTGAAGAGACCTAAATAATACCTACTTATTTCATAAATTAATCACATTATAATTTAAACTATTATCAAACAGATTTTACTTAATATCTATTAAATAATTTGAATACGTCATAATATAATGTTATGAATTAATTATTTCATAAAATCGAGAGGAAACCAATTTAGCCTTCAGATTATTTAAAAATAACATGAACATCACAGCTTAATAGCTTAAAATAAATAAAGTTTTACTTATTGTTAAATTATTCTAAATTATTGTATAAACTGGGTAAGTAATATATTGCACTATTGTATTGTCTAACTATTGGTACTTATTGAATGTGAAGCAATTGTCTACAAATGTTACAAACAGTTTCTCGCGTGTAATATTTAGTTACAAGACATTGTCGAGTACCAGAAAACTGCGAGCTAAGTAAATTATGGTCGATTAAATCAATACTTATACACTTATCACTTGAGATATACTCGAGATTATGAATATTTGTACATCCCTGTCTCCTTGCGCATTCGCACTGAAACAAATAAGAAAAGTTCGTTAACACATTGTCACATTCCCAGACGAAAATTACATTTTCTTGGCATGACACATTACCGAATTTGTATTAAACTTAAGGCGTTACTTTAAAAAACTCAGCAAAGGTTTTAATTTCAATTAAATGAGAATCTGAGTGGGTTAAATAATGATATTATACTCACTTTCAACGAAGCATATGGCTGCGAGTATGCACGCAGAGAATAGTATCGTCATTGATATAACGAGGACAGTTATCTGGTGCGAGTGATCGCAACAACAGGATTTGGGTTCCTTCCCTGTGCGATGTTTCGTGTAACCGTTGACTACGGTGAAGTGGGTCGAGCTGGCGATTGACTGCGTGTCCTGACCCGGACCCGAACTTCGTTTGACACCATTCCAAACAGAGTCCAAACCGTCATGTGACTCCTCAGGAATGGCGACCACTGCCTCTGAATGTCCTGATTTACGTCCATAGCTCCCTAATTTGGTGTGATAGCTTCCAACCTCATCTGGTTCTGTACTTCTTCCGTGCATGCGTGCTAAATGCGCTGCGCTCAGTAGCAATGAGCCTGATGATACACTCTGCAAGTAAGAAATGACATTATAAGTATGAGATTGGAAATTCTCAGTCACATTTCATCAGAAAACGTTTACTTATAAATTAAACTATTGTAAGGGGCAGTTCGCATTTTTATACGGAACCCTAACCAAGACACGCTACGCCACTGCAACTGTAACCAGTGTATGGAAACAGGCTCATCGCCTATTAGGTACATGGGACTTATGACAATCAATGTTACATAAGTGTCTACTTTAAATAAGTTATATTTATTTTCAAGTATAAATTTGTTCAACTACTTATATGCGTATTGTAAAAATGCTATGCGGTAATAAAACCGTGCGTTAGTAAAAGTAACAATCTCTAATCGATTTGAACTCGTCGACATTAAGTGCTATAGAGTGCTGCGTGGGTCGCTGTTACCATGTGTAAGTTATGTCACGATTCTTCATAAGGAACTTTGAACTTATTGTCGCAACGCGACGAGACGACGAGGCGTTTGTTCGTTTAAAATGGTCTAGACCAGATATCGTCTATTTATGGTCCTGCCAAAAATACATTTCATGTTCTTGTTTGCACTAACAGTTTGCACATATTGTCGGAGCATTATTCCAAAACATGAATAAATTCATGACCTCCAACATCTTGTACAAGGCGCATATTGCTTAAATCAAGAAATAGGTTCCACCAAGTAACCAACGCTGTGAGGTTTCTATTAGTCTCAAATCGCTAGGAATGTTAATGTCGAAATATCATATTGCAAAAGACTTGTGCTGTGTAAAAATATCAATTTATGTTGTCTTAATAATGTGTGAATCTTTAAACAAGTTGTTCTCGCAGTCATATTAAATTACGAAATATATTATTAAAAAGTTCATATGGGCACGTGAGTCAAAGGCATGTTTGTAACTTAAATCTTTGGCCCATCGCGAAATGTTCACCATTAACAGAAATATTTATCTTATTAACTCATTAACATTTAAGTAATGAATACCTCTAACACAGGTCTATTTTTATTAAAAATTAAGTAGGTGTGTATAATGATCTATCTCAGTCACAAAGATAGTAAAAGTGTTTGAAAACGTGTATTTAAAATATGACAAAAAACGTGTCAAGTACTTTATGACAATCGGTTCTTCCAATAAAAATTATGTTTATTTTATTCATTATAGATTCCAATATCAAACAATATAAATATTGTACAAGAGACCTTTAAAAAAATGTTCAACTTGTGTGTCAGTTTTGCAACTGTTGTCAACTCAAATTAAGCAATCTGTGGAATGTTGTATGAGAATGAGAACGTACAAGTTTAGTGGATCCTGTACCGGACACGGCAATATCAACCAGTTTCTTGACCCCGTCAATTATCTAAATGTGTATCTAATGTCATACAAAAACAATATCGAATTATGTATACCAAACAAAAAATGTACTTTTTATTGTTAATTATCCGAATATAATTTCAAACACACCACGAAGGTGCCAAATTAGGCATGAACTTTTTATATCCAACGGCTGCTTTAATGTCATTTACTTAAAAAAAGTATCGATGCATAAATTAAGTACCGACTTTGTTCTATCGATACACAACGTAAATTCTTGGCTTGTAATTGAAGCGGAAACTAAGTTCGTAATCATTGTGACGCATGATTTAGAAGGTCAACTTACGTGGGTACTGTGGTTACTTGATGAGCCTTGGCTGGAGGCGGAGCCACCACGAGATCGCGCATCGCTCAAGCTCCCGGCTCCGCTACTGCCTGATAGCGATGGTCTCGGTATGTGCCACTCCTGTGATGAGATCTGAAATCATTCACATTAATAAACATGAGCTCTTCACTTTCAACTAATATTTATATTATACAAAAACATGCCTCGATCTACTTAATCTGAATAAATTCAAGATCGCAGTTAAAATATCTCCGATGCCAATATCCGATCGTAAATGCATCTAACAATCCAACTCCATTAAGTACTAACATTGACGAATGAAAGCACTTTCATTTTTGCACTTTCATTACTCTACATGATAAGCTGCTAGAAATGATTTTCTAAAAAGCTTTGTTCAATTTAAACACTACATTTGAAAGTAGGTCGAGTTGCCTCAAGTGTGTCAAAGTATACTTAAAATATTCAAACCAAATAGATGTCAGAGTTTCTACCTATTCATCTATTTGACGGCTAGAGACAACGTTCTTAGTTTATGTCATTAACATGAATTTAATTATAATCTGTAGCAGGTCCTTGCATACATATTCATATTACAGTAAAAGGACTACATGTCAGACATTCTCTTTCCTTCTATCTGAGCAAATACCTATAAACGCATATTAATTGATATCAAACAACTCGATCACTGCCTACGTAGATATAGCATTTTATGTAGGATTGCGGCGTCTTTGAATATCTTGAGAAATATTTATTTCCATTTACGATGACATCAACTAATCGAAGAAAAAATAGGGAAGACGAGAATTTACTCGCGACCCTGGTATATAGCATTGCAACTGCAATTCGAATTTAAATAGTCCTAAACAAGTAATAATAATAAATATCATTAGTCACTTTTTTATTGAAAGTTCAAATTAATCAATGCAATTTTGGACATAGACTTAACATTGTTAGTCGAGTCTCATTATAGATGGATATGGCAAAGTTACTTTGTAAGTTAAACTGAGTGGCATTCTCGATTACTTCAGTTTATAAAATATAAAAGGCCTAAAGTAATGATGTAACGTAATTTTCAGTAGTTCAACCGTCACGTTTTAAAATGTTCTGCTTCTACTGAATGCGTACGGAAATCATTGCAGCACTCTTCCTTGTCGCGTCTTTGGAGATTAGTTTCATCTAAAGATCGCCTTTCAATCTCAACAAATAATTTATTTATGTAACCGTAGTACAAGTGTAGAGCTTTACGATATGCTACTGTGTCTGTAAATGATATGTATGAAACAATGACGTGGGGCTCTTTGTTAAAGTAAAAAAACTTCCTGTGTTAGTCCTATGGACAGGATCGTATTCAGTTTCATCAATTACGTTTTAGGTCAAGTTTTGTTCGGAGTCCGATTGATTTTGTCAGATACGGTGTTCAAGGTCCCTGTTCTCTTTATTTGCGGTCTCGTTTCGTCGGCCTCTGTTGCAATAAATCTTAGCTTTGCTTTCGGCTTCATGGTCCTCTTTGTTACTCTGATAACATGATGGATAAGCATTTTAGGTAGTCATATCATTAATTCATTTTACTTTTTATTGTTACATGGCAAGGTCGCGTCATTATTGTGTTATTTTAACAATGTTCTGTTTATTCGGCGGTTACCTACGATATATCTCTTGAATTATTCAGTTTATACAGTTGATAGATTGTTCATTGTTGAAACCTTCAAACAATAGTGTTCACTCAACTCTTGGCACGAGAGTTTCGTCTCAGAGACGATGGAGGCGGTGAGCGTTGCAAAATGTTTCGCCAAATGCAAAGAACCGGTTCCGGGGTCTACGTCGATACTGTTACACTGTAATGTTCAGTAGTGTCTTGACAACGTACCTATAAAATGCATACACTTTCGCTCTTTGTATGAGAATTAATTAACTCTATACCTAAGTAAGGTAAGATTATGATAACATGCAGCAAGTGGGAACGCGGTCGATTTGTTCAAGTTCTATTGTTTGCGCCTATGAGGAAATAGTATCTAATTAGAATGTTTTCATGTATTGGCTAATATTGTTATTTCTCAAACTTGAAATAGTTTATGTTATAACTTTCGTGAGACATACTAAATTAATTATTATATTTTCATAATAAATAATATATGTTTTCATAATAATTAGAATTAGAAAGGCTCATATTCATGAGCAGCATTCCACGACTGACAACGCGGTGACTCTCGCGGTGCTACAGAATATGAACCTCTAGCATGGCTTGAAACTAGTCGAGTTCCTCGTTAAATAATTATGTGAGTAAGCCGAAAAAATATAATAATTTATTTCAAATAATTTTATGAATTTAATTATTGTTTTTATAAATTAGTTCTCTGTAAATTAACTTGTTCACGAGTATTGCTCCACGTGATATGGAAATAAATTAATAGTGTAGTCTAGATCATGTCGTTGTCTTTTTATCTTATATCATTTAAATATAATGGTTTAGTATTTATTAGCATTTTATGTTTTATAAGCATTGGGCACGTGTGTACTTACGGATATGACCATATGAATCAACTTTTAATTGCTATCAACACGTGGTTAGTACACGTTAAGAACCCCGTGAGAACAAGTATTGAATAAACGTTTATATTAAAATGTTATTATCTATACGCCTGCTCCTCCACGTGTGTGGGAGCACGTGCTCATAGACATGTAGTGCGCTTTAAGGCTCTACTCATCATAACCATTATTTGTCATACTAATAGTGCACATTGATGGAACAAATACTTGACTTGTCTAACTTAATGTGGTCATTCGTGTCATTAATTGTATTTCTAGTGTTTTGATATCCAACTATTAATTATAGTTTTTGCGATTATTTTTATGAATAGTCCTTTATTGTCAGTAACTCTACTTCTTGTCTGTCCATTTGTGCTCAGGTTAATGAAGACGTCAAACTTTATAATAAAGTAGCTGGGTTTCGGACATCGTTTCCATATAAGCGAATCATAACACTCAACTGAGACGTTAATATGATTAAACCGTGAAGGTAAATCTTGACTTCATGTAGGGACACTGCTGTCGTATTTGGACCCATCTCATTATTTTTATCTTGACAATCTACTTGGCATATGTATCATTTATCATCGAGACAGTCTGGTTTACTTTGGTGCTTTTCATACTTGCATACTGCGATTAAACTTAAGACTCATTGACTTCTGAAAACAACCTTCCTCGCTATTATTGCGTCACGTTCTACTAACTGAAAAGGAATCGTAACATCGGTATATCATTTATCTGTAATTGAAAATAATGAACAGTTACGTTACGAAACTACTTAGCGCCATAATAACAAGTGCATAGTCGTAGAACATGTTCGGTTGGTACGTCGCGGTCGTTGACGAGACGGTCTAGTTATGCAATGTGTAATCTTTACGAATCAACAGTCAATGCGTGCTCTAGCTGCGTGCTCATAACGGTTCATTGTAATCGCGGAAATCATTAGACTATAACCCAACTTATACGTCATGTAATATCACGACACCTGAAATTGCTGTAAAATACGTTTCGTGATACTTGCGTTAATTGCCTGCCTATTTATCTAACGTCAGATACATTTTTTACGGGAGTTAATTAAAATTCTATTTATAGATATGGTTTTATTACCAACTTTTTCAATAACTTCTTGCTTCAAGTTATTTGAAGTCACGAACTCACGATGTTGTTTTTCTTCGAGATGGACTTGGTACAAAAGCAGAGATGACGCCTCCAACGACTTTCATAATCCCAAACAATAGTCGCTACACATAGTATGATAATCGGCTAAAGACTAAGTAGTCTGTTCCCCTTACAAGAGAAAGCGTACATTCCCGATACATGGTTCTTCTTAGAATACTTTCGGTAATGCAAATGTCACAATGGATAACGGGTTACTGTCCACGATTTCGATACTTTTAATTTCACGTCTCTCTGTGGTCAGGCTGACTTATCGTAACTGAATTATGGGCGTTGCAATATTGATCTCTATCGGCGCTACCGGCGAAACGGCTTGCACACTGTTAAGTTTCTCCTAAAATGCCTCTTTGAATACTTGAGTTATTAGCTTTGTGTAGTAGGAATGAACAGTCCATTTAAACACTGTATTACTGAGTATTAGCAGTTTAAAAGCAACATGGCCCTCGAAAGTCGTTTGTGACAAAGCAGAGTTCAGTTATGAGTTAGTTTGACAAAAGCAAGACGTGTTATTGAGCATCCAATTATCATATTTTATACGCGATTGCATGAGGACGCCGCTGTATAACTCATTGTTCACGCTGGTCACAAACATTGACATGATGCTTATGCTCGTCCTTGAACTCAATTGCTTATATTTATGAAGCTAACGGGATTTGTGTCAATGTAAATAGCGACGAATATACTACTTATTTATTTTCATATTTGGACAAAAACTAAATGGAACAAAAAACGTTCTCATAATGTTTTAGTTATGAGGATAGCGAAGATGACTTAATAAAATAAGACGAACACAACTTATACTTAGATGTGATGATAATTATTACCTATCAGTGTACTGGTAAAAAATCCAATCAACGATTCTTTTAATTATAGGCTTTATTGTAGTGTAGTAGACGTCGATAATACCAAACGTTCAATAAATAGTAGGTTGATTGAACTTTGGCTCGAAATAGATTTTCCGGAATGTTTTAAGACGATTATATAATTAATTGATGAGTACCGTGTGCTTCCCTGTATGTGTTAAGTAATTGCAGCATTCTTTGAGTCGTTACTCGTTACCCATGGTATAGTATTCGTCTGTGTGTAATCTATATCGTGAGTGGGAGGTTACAATAGAAAAAGTGGCCATGAGATGGGTTACTTAGCCGGATTCTCCTATTATTCAGGTACCTGTTACGATGACATCATTTGCTGACGTCCATGATTTGCTGTTATGTTACGTGATGATTACCTATACCTATATCAACGGTCGGTAATGATTACTCCTAATATACCATAATAAAGTGTGGGTAATCATTTTTTGTTGATTTACATTTTAACATATTGATAAGTTAAGCAAGTAGGACGTAAAATAAATAATAATCATAAGAGTTTAATTGCAAAGTTTAATGCCAATACGTCTTACCTTGGCAATTTGGAGTTAAAAAAAA